TATAAGGCGACCCGGCATATAAGTCGACCCCTGTCTTTGGCGCAGAGTTGCATGCCTAGAAAGTCATCTTATACGCCGGAAACTACTGTTATTTTCGGCATATAAGACGACTCGGCGTATAAAACGACCCCCGACTTCGGCGCCAATTTTAAAGCTTGCGAAAGTCATCTTATATGCCAGAAAGTATGGTAAATACCTCAGAATTATTTTCAACTATTTAGTAAGCACTGTGGGTATTCAACATTATGGGAACACACCTTGCTTTATGCAACAGCACTTCTTCTTCTTTTTTCCTCAGCAGCCTCCTTTCCATATCAAAATCTCCTCCACAGTGATTATGCAATTTTTGTAGTTGTATGGAATTATGCCCACTAATAAAAGCACTTTGTCTTCTTATAATGGCTTGGCAACATAGTTCAATCACAAGTCAATCACCACTTGGATTTCTGATCTCAGATCTCACAGGGTGAGACACCCCAAATATGCACCATTCTGTAAACTTAGCATTATATCTCGAATATTAGTATATTTTTGGCTTCCATCTGTATAAAACATACAGATTTATATTCCACATTTTGATCAAGAGTGTAAGGCAATATGCATAGTGTCCCTGATTCCATTATCCCTCAAAACAAATTTGTGGGGAAGGTTGGGTTGAGAGTGACCCAATGTCACCCAGCAAACTTCTGCACCTGGAAATGCATTTGAACCTGGGTCTTTCTGGTGCTAATCCAACAGCTGCTGAAATAGGGATCTTTAGTCCATGGCAGCATCTCACTGTGACGATATTTACAAACTGCAATCAAATTCTTCAGTCATGTGGCTGGGCCATCCTTAATCCATATAGATGCTTGGTTTCCATGCATTCTGAAAACAAATAAATGCTTCTAATATCAATGTGTCTGCTGTTTGCTTAAGGTGTAATTCAGTCTTTTCTACTTGTCATGAAAGGGACTGAAATCAGGCAACAAAGGCAGAACAATTGAAAGCTCATAAAGAGCTGATAATAGGCCGACACAAATCTGTGTTCTTTAATTCCATATCATTTCTTGTTTCTTTGCAAATATAAAAGCAGATTCTAATCACTGACACTGACACCATAGCCACTTCAATGTGATTATAATTTGTAACTGGCAGACCATTTTAAAGTAGAGATACGTACCTATGCTCCTACGTATCAAGGCAGAATCTAAGGACCACACAGGTATTATGCCACATAATCCAAGCCCTTTATTAGTACTTTGGTGCTGTAATTATTAACTCAGTGTCACTTGCACTTTGGCTTGGCTAACTCAGATAAAAAGCTTCAACTGCAAAAATGCTATTTGTCCTTGAAGTGGCACAAAACTAAACTGCCATGAAATATACATCTCTTATTCCTAGTCTCTCTCCTATTTTTTCCAGTCCTTGCTAACAGTGCTGCCCTGATTTTAGGCATCCAGTTCATGGTAGGCAGATGGATTGGTGAGTCCTCTGGCTTGGCTGCCCTCCCACTTCAGCATATTCTCTGCTGGCAGAGAAAACTCTGTCACAGCAATGCAGTAGGAGCAGGGCAGAGAATATTCTAGCCATCATCTCTAGGTTAAATTCTTCTTGTATCCTTTTACTACATTATATTCTGTCATAACCTGAGTTGGATAAACTTAAACAAGAAAATAAAAATGATTGGCATCACAGAGGGAAATGAAGCACAAGTAGCATTTTTCTTAGGATGTGCTTTTTTCTTTCTTTTCCTGTCCTATCCTGTCCTTTCTTTTTTATAGGATTTCCAAACTTCTCTATATTATATTCTGAAGAAAATTGTTTGATCTGCTTGTTTAACTATCTGTCTTTACACAATACATATCAATAAAATCCTCTGGAAATATTGGCTCCCATTATTTTAATATTATATTACTCTGTTATGTTATTTAACTCACTATATTGCTATTTCAGTCAGTACAGCTGCCTGATCAGTCTTGCATTACTGCAAAGTTCTGATAGATCATTGGTATAGCACTATTGTAACAGTTCTATATGGAAGCTCGAGCACAATTGTTGACACATGAGACTTACTGGAGGCCAGATGGGGGAGGCTTACCTCTCTGTAACAATCAATACCAGTGGCTTTGATCCATTTGCCAAGCATCACTTCAACATAACGTGTGCCAGAGCAGAACAGATTTTATACACTTTATAGCTGTTGCATGCTATTGGCTTAAGAAGAAAAACACTGTTTCAACAATTCCACAGCTAGGGATAACTGAGGCCTCTTTGACTCATGGACTGGAGATGAGATAATAGGAACATCACAGAATTTGGTAGAGGAAAAAACTGTTTTTAGGGTATGTTTGAATTGAATTGTTGTCAGTTGCGAATGGGTAAGCCCATAAAGAGAGCAAAATCTCACACAACGTTTACTAATAAGTTTATTTCTGCTAGAGTTAAAATTGGGAAATTTAAAAAGTGCAGCATTAAACAATGTGGTAGAATGCTATGGGTTTGATATAAAAGGCTGAAGATGCTGAATTTGGCTTTAATATACAAGGTATTCTCAAAATAATCAGAGTTGAAAAAAATGGATTTTGTCCAATAGCATCTGGGAGATTTAAAAAATCATGGGATTTCATATACTCCTTGATTTTCTAACTAATCAAGGAGTATATGAAATCCCACGCACTGCTTGCCCCACCACATACATTGGACAAACCAACAGAAGAATAAGTGCACGCATTGAAGAACACAAAAACTCAGTCAAAAAAGAGGAACCAATTTCTTCCCTGGTCCAACACCTTAAGGCCACAGGACATGAAATTGACTTTAAAAAGACCAGAACTATTGCCAAAACTGAACACTTTAATAACAGAATAATCAGAGAAGCCATCGAGATAGAAAAATGCCCACACAGCATGAACAAATGAGATGATACCTCCCACCTACCAGCCATTTGGAAACCTGCCCTTATTGACAAATGAGTCCCAAACATAAAGAATGACACCAGACCCACACTCACGAAAACCACACAGGATGTCACCACCACACATTCACGCAAAAAGCAAACCCAAACCCACACCGATGATGAGGCACGACCACAAACCAGAAGCCAGACCACAGCTGCATCATTAGCCACTTTAAACCCCTCCAATCTATATATGAAGCAAACTGACACCCACCATGAAGATGAGGCATGACCACGAACGCAAAGCCAAACAACAGCAATGCAGCTCACCATCTCAAACCCCCTGCAACTCAGAGTAACCTGAGCACAACAAAGCCCCACCCAAACAGAACACTCCCCCATCCAATCAGAGCACAGCCAACCCCCCCATCCAATCAGAGCACAGCCAAGCCCCTAACCAATCAGAACACACCTCCACCCAATCAGAACACAGCTAAGCTCCCACCCAATCAGTTCATACCCCCACTGGCAGTTAAAGAAGAAACAGCTACGATCACACATTGCTCCTAGAAGCACGAAGCCAAAAACACCAGCCTGAAGATGACGAATGGGACTTCATCGAAATGTTGCCAAGACACTTCCAATTTTATGTGGGAGAAAACTGGAATAACCAAAGACCTACATACAAACACCCATGAAAACCTCAGAAAACACATATATATACATACGTACATACATACATACATACATACATACATACATACATTGGGGTGAATATACAAAGAAATAATTATTAGTGTAAATAATATTCAGAAATACATGACATTCAGCAATGCTTGCATATATTGTAAATAAAATCTGTGCAACCATATGGATAATTTTCACTGTGAACATGTAAAAAATTTTAACTATTCAGAAACATTTAAGATAGGAAAAAATGAAAAATTAAGGAATGAAATGGATTGATTCTTCCATCGCTGCTTCCATCTGATAACTCATAACAGAGATCTATGTTACTACTCAAGGAGATGGTTAGTCAAAGTAAAATAGGGAAAGATAACTGCATCATAAGAAATTAATGCCTTCCTTTCCTTAATAATGAGCAAGTGCATTCTTTTTTCATTTTTCTGGAATAAAGATTTGATTATTCTCTGATTAAAACAAGAGTGAAATGCACCTCTTTTTAATTTAGATGGGCTTGATTCTGGAAGTACTGCTCCTTACTAATTCACCAAATTCCATGTTGGATTTTCTTCATCAGCAATCATCTACACAATGTACATCCATTCAAAGTGTCAGTTTCAACATTTTTAGAAAGAATAAAGGCTTTAAGCTTTATATGTGATTTGAAGCAACTTGCAAACCTAAACAATGGTTTAGGTCTAAACTACATGTGATTGAGAATAGATGTTGACATACGTATTGCTTAATCAGGCAAGCAGATTCCTGTTCGTCATATTTATCAGTTTTATAAAACATTTTGTAGATTAAAGCAAAAGGTGTGACCCAGTGCTGAAAAGTCCTAAGTGCTAAAAAGATGAAACATTGAAAGATGTTAAATGTTTCTTACCTTAATGCAGAAAATATTCACTATTTGCTGAGCTAAATAGGAGCTAAAGAATCATTCTATTAAAAACATTTATGTGAACATACTTTTTTAAAATTTTGCAGTCCCTGAGAGTAGTCCTCCCTACTTCCTATATTTATTCCACATACATATGTATTTTCCTCAATTTATGAGCTTGAGTTTGGCATGCTTGCATCTGCTTTATTCAAGTTAAACCTATCCATGGTAATTGCTTGATTTGTAACTTATAGGGCTTATAAAAGGCTAGAAAAAAAGATAGCTGAGCTTTTAAAATTTTACTTCTGGTTCAGCTATTCAATCCCCATCAAAAACTGGTAGGCTCTGCTCCCTGACTTTCCCTAACCCTGAAGAAGCCACTTTCAGACAACTTATTTCAATTGTTAATATGCTGTAAAAACTCATCCCTTCTCTTCTGCAGCTTGAGTAGGAGAGTCGTTAATTCCGGGATTTGTATTAAGTGCCCCACTCCAGTGGAGCTAAAGCAAATCGCCATCCTCTGAAGAGCAGGAAAATAATGACACCAGATTACAACAATTTTTGTCAAAAGGCAATACTTTAATTTTCAAAACTTTCTACACAAAGTGCAATTTCTTTTGTGATTTTTTTAAAATTTCATGTTTCTGAGGGAGAATTACAATGAGACTCCCCCCTTATGAGGTTTCTGTGATTGAAGAGATTCTAAAATGAACACAGAAACAGAGAGGGGCTGTAAAGTCTTTCTGAGACTCCCAGTTAAAGGGACTGGACAAAAGAGCCACCGAAGAAAATAAAACCAACCAGGTACAAATAGATTTTTTTCCTCATAACCAATTCTCAAATATGGCATAGAAGCCTTGTTCTAAGCTAATATGCACAAAAAGCCAATTTTGTTGCATTTTAATAACTTCTCTCTGGGAAGAATAGATATTTCCTCTTTTTTCTTCAAAACCATTAGTAAATAATTAAAAGGAAGAGTCAAAATATTCTCTAAAGATAACTTTGTCTTCAGTTGCCATAGTAACGAGCCTTTCCTAGGCTAAGCCAGGGTTTTTTGTTTTTTGCTTGTGTTGTGAAATAAAACACAAGGAAAAAGAATCCAGATTTTGAAGGAAGAGTAGGATGTGGTTGTTGACATGAAGGTGTTTCTGCTGTCATATGTTCAAATGATATACAATATAATATAAACTACTTGGGACTTCTATTGTCATGAATAAGCAGTAGCACCTTTAAAAATATAAATAAATAAATATTACCTGCAACTAAGGCCAGCATACATTCTATACTTCACAGATGAAATTATTAATTTTTTCAATTTAGTTCTATTCATTTTCTGCATTTGTAATTCAAGATATCTGCCGCATAGGCACACACTAAGAAAGCAATCTTGTTTACATCTATTTGTGAGTAAGGAAAAGTTCGCTTTAAATCTAGACATCTGGCTAAGCATCTTTGGATCACAAACAGAATCATGTTGCAACTTACTGATGGAAACAACCCCCTACTACTAAACGTGTAAAGTAAGTGATTAAGGTGTCTGCAAAAGGAAAACATAGACACACAGGCACACACAAAGGAGATGAGTCAAGAATCACAGAATTTGCTCAGTTTGATTTAAGCCTACTAACATAAGAAAAATGCTTCTTGAAATATGTGTTAGTATCAAACTGGCCAGAATGCTGAAGCATTTTGAAGGGAGTAGTATATGTGACACAGATGAAGAAATGTTTTGTTGTTGTTGAGATTAGAATATCCTATCCAGAAATCACAGAGAAACTATGGCTCAGAATACTAGATGGTCGTCAGGAGGAATTAGTTTAGACACTTGGTCACATGTAGAGCTCAATGCCTAAAGTGTGGCAAGTATCCTTTTCCTTTTCCAAGTTAAGCTGAAGATCTGGTCCCCATATTACAGAAGAGTTGTCTGCAATGAGAAACACTACTGTACATATGACAGTTTCATATAAATTGGAAGCCAGGATTCAATGTGTTGTTAGCACTTTCATGTTAATAATTATTCATGATTTTCCATGATTTAAAAACAGTTGTGAACTCTGCATGCATTCTCTGAAGAAATTTGGTATTAAGGTATGAATTGATATCTAGATTTATATCCCTGAAGATGAATTGACCCCTGGTATCAGCAACGTGCTTCTCTAATTTCTTATGTGATATGACTGATGCTAAGGTAGTTGTTGGATGATTGGATCTTGGAATGCCACTGAGTAATTTTACACATAACTTTGCTCAGCTAATAATATCCTAATAGAACATTACTTCATTCTGTAAATTGCATCAGATTATAGTGCAACTATGGCCAGATCTATGCTTATCCCCACCTTCTCATTGTTAGAAATATAATTTTATATTAACATCATCAGATGTTACTATTCTTTAATTGTCCTTTTTTAATGTAATCCAACCTAGAACTTTAGCAGAAAGTAATTTAATTTTGTGTTCTTAAATATAATCTGCCTAAAATTGTAAGACAATGTTTTCTCAAGCATGAATGTTGGAAATCCATCAACCAACATGTTAGAAAATGAAACTTAAAATTGATAAAATATACACAGGATTGCTCTATAGTGATACACATTTCAAAGCTGTCATACTGTCGGAGGTCACTTTTAGGGCTCTAAAAATAACATTACATAAAATTATATATTGTCCAGTCAAAATGAAAATTGTAATATAAACCTGATACAGAGACAAAATAGTGGTCAGGGAGGAGTTGTGGTCCCTCTTCTCTTCTGAAAACCTTCAGAATTTTGGTCACTTCCAATCCTACACAAGCTCCCAGCTCCTTTTCATAACTATCTTCCCATCTTTTTAAGGCTACATTTGTCCAAATCACAGACTGTGCAAACACTTTCTATACATGTAAGTTTTCTTTTTGGTCTCTCGACTCTTCAAGTACACTTAAGCACAAATTCAATGTCAAACATTCAGCTCACATCATGACAATCTGGAACAATGCTGGAAACACATACAAATGAGGAAGTTATATTAGTTATATAACTCACATTCCCATACATTTGAGCAGACAGGATCCAACCAGAATATGACATTCCTATCTACCTACCGGAAAAGATTTACACAGCTCTTTTGGCTGGCAGACTGAAGCTACAGTGCCTTGGCTGGTTTTTGCATTGCTGCTAACATTATCATTAAACTGCTTTGCCATAACTGCAAATAGTCACAGAGTTATGATAAACAGAAATAACTGGGTCTGCAGATGGAGTAGTGACAAAGCTCATTTCAGTTTTTTACTATGCATTGATATGGATGGCTTCCTTGTCCTTTCAAAAAACATTTAAGAGGTCTGCTTTTTTGCCTATCATTTCTGCTTCATAAGGAACAAGCAGAAAGCATGCTACAAGCTAATGTGCCTGCGTGCACACACACACAGATGCACACACAAAACATTTAAAACTAGGACCATTATTGCTTTATTAATGAAGACCTTGATCCTTCTCTGAAGCAGTCAGGAATTCCTTTTTTGTTTTCTGCATTAGTAACTCTTCATTTCAATTTGGTACTCTCTAAAAACACACACATTACTTTTCAAGAGATGCATTCATCATGATTTCATCTCCTGTCCATTGTAAAATATTTGGTATTCATTGACTCATTATACTAAAAACAAAGCAGCCATCTGATGTATACATCAGCATTGCCATGTCTTCTAAAATTCTCTGCTATAGTCCTTAATGTTGAAAGGCTCTAGATGCTGAGCCCAAATGTGTAAAGGTAGGTTATTAAATCAGCTGTAACTGACTCAATTTTTCAGGAAAATTATATACATCAGTTTCAGGGAGAGGTTTTCCTCCCCCCCCAACCCTTCCAATCTTGGAATATGTATTGAGCCTTTCATGGAAGATGAGCAAGTTTTAAGGAAAGGAGATATCCTATTAACATTTTTTCCCCAGAGCACTTTAAATCAGTTCCAACTTTCAGCCAATCCTTGCCTGGATCTGTCCTTAAGAGTACTTCAATCTACAGCAATAAACTACTGAAATGGAATGTTTTCAGGCTGTGGAAAATCTTCAATTGCCTATTTCTGTATATCATAGCCCAGTCCAAGTCAGTTAAGTTGCCAGATTTTTTTGGGGGGGTCAATCACAAAATAATTTGAGAATTATACCTATAACTGTCCCATTTTTGTCTTGGAATGGAAAATGATAGTATTTTCAGAAGCCAGGCTTTCTGCTTGATGGCTTGGCTAATAATGTAAAACATTATGATAAAAAGGTATCTTGAAAGTGACTGAGTTGCTGAAAACGTGGTTTATAACAGGGAAAGTAGTTTATTTTGAGAATGATCCCATATGCCATGTAACTGAGCAAGTTTCACTTATCCAGTCTTCTGCCTTTAGCACTCCATCCTCCATATACAGCCATGCATACACATGCTCACTTAAGGCCAAATAACACATGACATTAAATAGATAGTTTGCTGTTATTTTAAAAGAGAAAATAGCAGCTGGATCATAACTGGGAGTAATTTCTCCAGTGCCACCGTATTAATAAAACTATTGCTTGGCTTAAAAGAGAAGCTCCCACTGATACTATTTTCAAATAACAGCTCCCACAAGTGTAAAATGGATTTTTTGTCAGGAATGTAGTGGAAAAGTCACTACCCCCCCCCCCAATCTAATAATAGATTTGACATAGAATTCTGGATTTTTTTCTCTTTTTATGTTATGGTTCCAATCTTGCTTCTCCCGTTCTAGCAATTATTTATCATTTCAAAAAGTTACATGCAGTGTCAAATCATGACATGCAGCTTGGTCCTGATTATCAGTAAAAATGTGCTAATCAATTGCTTTGCATTTTTAGAATGGCTGGAGGCATCTCATCTGACACTATTTAAGGGACACCACTTAATTTAGCTAACAAGGCCATGAAAGGCATTATTGTGTTCTTTTCTTATGGAAACATAGAAATGGTTCTAGAAGGATCAAAATAACAGGCCTATGTTGGATACAAAGAGCTTCTTACACTTCTTCCTCATTCTCTAGCTTTTTTTTTCTTTCAATATATTTGTAAAAAATAGGATATTTTTCTTTAGAGATGGTTTTTGCACCTCTGGGCTTCTAAAATAGATTTTTTTCACAAATATTGAATAGTAAACAAAATAAACTACAAATTCCAATCCCTAAGCAGTACAAAGTGGCTTTTCCCATATACCTTTCTTTCTAAATCCTCCCCCGAACAAACAAACAAAAAAACAAAGCACGATCAATGAAAATCAGAGCACCGAGTATTTTGCCATGTGGCTTCTGCTTTTTCTCCTGGTTCTTCTCATTACCCTCTGGCAACTAAAATTTCCCAAGGGTATCAGATTGGGGAAGGCTATCTAGAGCTTTCAATTCTATACAGCCCACATAGACTTTTCTATTGGATGTGTTCACATTTAAGGAGTCTGAGAATTTCACTGATGCTACCTGAGGAGTTTAACAAAGCTGAACTTCAGATGCTGTTGCACCCCCTCGAAGTATCTCCAAGAATATCTTCATATAACTAGCTCCCCACCCTCCCACCAAGATGTGGATCATAGTTTTTACTACCACCACCATCACCACCCCACAAAACACAACATGAATTATGCAATTTTGCTTGAAAGAGATACCCAAGCCCTAAAAATCTGGCTGGATTCCTCATTTCATTTTAAAGTTATTTTTCCCAAGACCCTGCCCTTTTCATACTTAGCACTTTCTAAAAGTCCTAAGCTCTCTGTAAAAAAAATAAATAAATCATTCTATATATCTGTACATATATATTTGTATATGTAGAGGGCTAAATAGCTGCACCCAGCCAGCTAGTTATTTGGTTGGAGTGTCTTCTTCACCCTCTTAACTTTGTCCCACAGTCACCTTTGCAGAAGTAGCGATCCCCTGCAAATGTGGGATGTTCTCATATTGCTATCACTCTCTCAAGTCTCTGAGGTATGGTACAAAAGTCTTGTTTTCCACACATACACACAAGCGGACACACATACACACGTGCACACATACAGACATACAGACATACATATTTATATTTTGTGTGGTTGCTTTTTTCCCTTTTCACAGTCCTCTCACTGGGAACTGCTGTTAGGAAGTGGCAGCCAGAACAAGCCTCTTTCACGTTTCATTCTTCCTCCCTGCCGCAGGGAGACTCATCTATGTCTCTTGCTGACTCTGGTCCCCAGCTGCAGCTCAGAAGGAACTGGGGGGCTGTGGTCTGGAGTCCCAATTTTGTCTAAGCTCTCTGGTACATCACCCTCTCTTGGAGAAGGGCTGTTCTTGCAGAAGTCTGTCACCCAAGATGGCATAGATAAAAAACCCCTTGGGTCAACTGAGTAGAACTGCTTGGCTTCATTTGCTGCAGAACTCCGTGAAGAAGAGTTGGCATGGAGACTGCTGGTGCTGTTGCACTTCTTCACAAGTGCCAGAGCTTGAGATGGAGGAGGAGGTGAAAAGAGAGAAGTCAGAGAAAAACTGCTGAGGGTCTCTGACTGTTCACTGCTGTTACCTCCTCCCCTTAAGCTGCTCCCTATCCCTTCTTCATCAGAAGGGTCCATGGAATCATGATAAGTACAACCTGGGCTAGTGCTTCCTCCACTGCTGTGGCTCCGCTGGTGCCTCCTGATGTTCTGGAGAGTGAAGATGCCACGACCCCTTATGCTTTGCCTTCGAGAGACAGGGGAAAGTGGGACCACCAAAGCTTTTTGAGTGGCTGCTGGCACTGGGCATAATACTACTGGGAGATCTAGGGTGCACTGGGGTGAGTCACTAAGGTTTAAACTGTCTTCCAGTGTGGTCTGCAAGCTGCCGTCTGAGCTATTGCTCCTGCCATCATCAAGGGAAGTGTCACTCTCTGTGGTCTGCAAGGCCAAGAAATAACAAACCAACAAAATCACTTTTCGTATTCAGTACAAGGAACAGGGCATCAGTTGCAATGTTATACATCAACTAACAAAAGCAGATGGTTGTTCCTTGCCTCCACTTTCATCTGGTAGCACTAATCATTAATATGAGGACACAGTTCTGATTCTTAGCTGTCTTAGCTGTCAATCAGCAATATCAGATAAGAACAACAGTGTGTTAACATCATTGCAAGGAAATCTGGTTGACTAAAACATTTTGTGTTTCTAATCACACCCAATATTAGCCATAAATAGACTGATCTTCCATCAGTCTGTCTTAAAATTTTCAGACATTTTCATATATAAGGTCCACTTATACTCTCATTGTAGGTTTATTTAATAGCCAGATCGACTGGTTATTTGAATACAGAGGTTTAATTAGAAGGCTTCCAATGTTATATAGGACTCATCCAATTTTTAACCTGGACTGTATAATTTGGTATACATCTGAAATTTGTTTTAAATGGAGAATACAAAGTCTATCTATTTTTCCTCCTGAAGCATTTTCCTCATGTCTATGTATGGTTCAACCTTAGTGGACATAGTTAGAACAATTAATCAGTGGAACAACCTGCCTCCAGAAGCTGTGAATGCTCCAACACTGGAAGTTTTTAAGAAGAGACTGGACAGCCATTTGTCCGAGATGGTATAGGGTTTCCTGCCTGAGCAGAGGGTTGGACTAGATGACCTCCAAGGTCCCCTCCAATATTACTACTACTACTACTACTACTACTACTACTACTATGGATCATAACACAGTCAGCCAGATGTTCAGACTGGATTTGGCATTTTGTCTACCTATCGAGTCCTTACCCAGGACCTGGGATAGGCAAATGTGGATGTTTGATGGTATTACAGATATCGTTGCAGGATGGAAGCAGTTCCTAGTAAGGCTGCCTTTTGCAATTGACTAATAGTGAATTTGTCAATTTTTACTACTACTACTACCGCTACTACTACTACTACTACTATTATTATTATTATTATTATTATTATTATTATTACAAAGTCATTATGGGAACACTTACCTGGTGAATAAGCGAGGAGTTTACATTTGGAGATTGCAGTGAGGCCCAGGAAGCTTGCAGAGAGATTTTAGGAAGGTTCTCTGGACAAGATATTTTCTCCTGATTTGATAGCTTAGCAGAAACAGCTGGGAGAAAAAACTCTGTTTGAACTGGCAATAGAAAATGGGGTGCATCTGGACAGGAGAAAACAAGGGGGATTTGGTAAAATCAGGAGAAAGACATAAAAAGGAAGAAACTGATTTTCCACTTTTCTTATTGGGCAGAAATCTACAAAGTCAATTTAAGTTATGTTTAATGAGGAAACCAAGAAAATCAAACTACTTGCAATCATCATCTTGCTCCTTCTCTTACAACTCCAGCCTCTTTCTTTGGTAGCTAGTTTAGGAAGCACTAATTCATTCTGCTTTTAGTTGGCACATCTTAGCAAGGAATAACCAGCAGCATCCAGCTCTATTGGCTAACATGTTTCCTGTTCCCTGGATAATTTTCCCTAAGAGAACACAGTTAATAATTTGAGCATGGCCTTTAGTATTAGACAAATTAGCACTTGCCAGCCGTGCAGCATGAGGGATTTTGGCAATGTTTCAGGCTTTTCTTACATACATCAGGATTCACTTTGAAATCTTTTTGGTTTTAAAATGTAAAGTAATTCTAGTTACCTTTTCATGAGGCTTAAAAGTTGTTCTAGTCATTATGTCTCACAATAATTCATAGGGTTATTGTAAGAGGCAGGAGCTACCTAGGCTGCTCTCATGATTTTTGAAAAACTATGGAAAAATAAACAAATTAACACTCGAATGATCAGAAGGGTGAGTTTAGGCATTGAGTTAAGAAGACCTTTAAAACACAAATGAACATATGGGAGTGAAAACATGAGGCTCCAAATTTACAAAATTATGAAGTTAATTCTTGTCTTTTACAGTACAGTTTCCTTGACTACAGATAACATATCAAACATATTGCAGAGTTTCCAATTCAGTGTCTTTCAGATATGTCTCCTAGCTACTGTTTCTTATGAAAATATTGGACACATTTGGAATACACCCAATTGAAAAAGGCTGAGGTATTGTGTTAAATGATGTATATATGTATATAGCACTATTTTATATTCTAGATCAGTGAGTGAAAAAAAAACTTTGGAAAACATCAATTTCTTCATGTTGTTTAGAATTGATACATTTTTCATGCCTATACCTGAATACATCCCATTAACATGAAAGAGCTCTTTAAAAAGTATCTCTGTTGGGTATCATATTAGTTCAGGTCAACTATGCGACATTTCCTACCTTCATTGGTCTCATTATTTAGCCAAGACTGAGCTCGACTGACAGGGATTTTTTCCATTTCATACTGGTAGCTTTCTGGAGGCAGAGAAGATCCTGTATTTGTTAAAGGAAAGAGACATTCTTCCAAGCCTGTATTCCTTGTAGAATTAGGGCTGTCTTCACCATCCTAGTCAAAATAAAGATATTGTCTTATGAAGCTTCATAAAAAGAAAACAAAATTAGAGGAAACTTTGCATGGTTAAAAAAATGTGCTCAGTGGATCTATCTATCTGATACACTGTCAGAAGGCATTAGCAATATTGGTCATTCCCCAAGGGCATTTAACCATGATATGAATGTGGTCTGTTAATTTCTTTGTACTGTTCCCTCTCCATGGTATTGCTTTCATTTTAGCCATTCTGTGGCAGTACAATCAGATGACTATCCAGACCCTCTTGAATACTTCAATTTTATACAAGTATGTTACTGGGGCTTTTGGTATTCTTCTCTGTCACTTACTTTTTACCCTTTTGGGAAGAAGAAGCAGGCAGAGAAGGCAACTCTATAGGTAGCTTCTTATGGCCTGCTAAACAGCTGATTGTTTGGCTCTGAGAATAGCCTAATAAAGCCAGAAAGATTGTCCCATTTTACTGAGCTTCCATGTCACTCCACAGATCAATTATTTGATGAGCTTCAGGAATTACCAGGACTGTGATTGGCAGATGGATTCCCAAGAGAATTGTAAAACAGAGATGCCAACAGAGAATGTAATGAATTGCTTTTTTAACATGCCAAAACAGAATCAATAGAGGAGGATAGGAATCAGCAGTCAAAACAAACTTGTATGTTATGCAGGTTAATTTTCAGCTAGCTTATTAACTGAGCTATGGGGAAAGATGCTAGATATGTATCAAAGCTTTATTGGAGCTCTTGACTGAGGTAATTTGCTTTATACATTTCAGTAACTGACTTCCCTTATTGAAAAAATTCTGGTGGAAAATGAAAATATTCCATATGCACATATGGACTTCATGTTTCATGAAGGAATCTGTATCAGAAATAATACGATGAAACAAGTAGGGGTAAGCATGCCTCTCTTGTTATGGTTCTATGTGAGCTTAGGCAATGCAGTTTTCTTTACTAGTATGGTCTTAAGTATTAAGTTTTAATACTCTCTCGAAAGCTCTAAAACTTTATAGTTTTAAGATTCCAATTTTTGCACACTTGTGTGAAATGGACCCATTCTATGCAGCTATCAATGTCAGTTCACTCCAATAAAACAAGATAAGCTAAAAGTGTGGCCCCAGTGATCCAGTTTCACACACTTGATACAGAGCATAATAAATTAATTCAGAGCATTTAAGAAAAAGTCCTATAGAATTTTGTCATCCATCCATCCATCTATCCATCCACCCACCCACCACTCCCTTGACCCTGAAAAAATGGATTCTTTTAAAGGAAGGAATATATGTATGTATGCATGCATGTATGTATGTATATGTATATAAAATTTACCTTTTCCTTAGGGCTTGGCTGGTCAATGTTGGAACTATCTCCATCATCTCCTAGCAGGACAGAAGACTTATCAGAATTGAGTGATAAGGCCTCCATTTCAGCCAGCTGGATCTATAGTAAGGAGGGTGAATGGGTTTCAGGAAAGAAACTGTCAAATAACACTCTTAACAGTCACATCGCTTTAGAAAAGAGATTGGAGACAAGAAGGAAGGTCATACTTGACATTTACAGAAACTTAACTCAATTTTACATATCATGAAAGATTCTTAGGGTGAGATGAGGATAAACAAAAATAAAATACACTTTTTGTGCATCTATGATGGACCATGTCATCTGAAGAATTCTCCATTTCATCTTCTGTGGAAGGAAAATAGAAAGCCTTTCAGTCTCACCAAGGAGTGGCTCCATAATATATAATGTAAATTCAGTATAACTGAGTCTACATTAAGAGACTGAGAAATCTCTGAGAAGAATTCCTAGAGGATAGTCTAGGGATCATTGAGAAAAGGACCGCCTTGCCTTGGATAACAGAGTTTATTTCCATCAACAGGCAGTTTGTGGCTATAGTGAAGCCTTCATTTCAACAGTAGTAATCATGCAATTCATATGAAAATCATGTAGCTGTATGTCTTTACTATTATTTTTCACTTACGTTTTTCCTCTTGAGTTTAATTCCAATTTACTAATTTACTAGTTAGTACTATTTACTAATTCCTTATTTCCAACTTAGTGAAAAAAATCATTCTATTCCGTGTTATTATTCAACTTCTCTTTTCCTTTTCTTTTTAAACAACATTCTATATTATAATATCCCTTACTTTCACTTCTCTAACTCAAATTGCTGGGTTTTAATTTGCTTCCTAAAACAAATCACCCCCCCAACACCATCTCTCCATCTTCTTTAAATGTCATCCCTTGATGGAGGAAGATATTTTTCCCCTTTTAATTTTATTGGGTTACCTTCTCTTTTATTTTTCCTTTTATCCAGATTACTATTCTCCAAAGTATTGTTAAAAGTATTGTTTTTCACTTAATGGCAGTCTCTAAGGAACTTTTGAAACTATTTTGGTATTTGCTCTTTCTTGGTATTATTTTATCTCTATTATTATGAACTAATTTGAGAGGTCTTTCAGTAAAGTTCTGCTTTCCTGTATTTGTGCAGAATATGTTGCTGGTGTAAACAGTAGCAAAAAAATGATATGGAGAGCTGATGGCTTTGGACAGGATCTGTAACAGAATCAATGGTAGTGCCAAATATTAGGACTCCTTCAGACGACAGTTCATTTGGAATTAATGGAAGATATGGCTGAAGTAGATTTCCAAAATGGTAATCCACTATCATGATGTAATCTATTACAAGGATATAATGATGGCAATCTTCACAGCACTAAAACCACACTATTTCCACAGAGGCTAACTGCTGAATTATTACTGTTTAGAGCACCGTGGACACAATCCAGTGCCTAGTCATGTTAGCTTAAATGCCTTCAAGATCAACTTGATTTATACATACTTCTTAGTGTGCTGGATTGTGTCCAAGGATGCATAATATGGAAGTTTTTACCAAACACAGCCACCACTAATCATCTACACATTTAAAAAAGAAAAGAAAACCGGCATCACATCACATCAAAACACAGCACAACTACCAGCCACAATATCTGTACATATTATACAAACACAAACTTTGTATGAATGACACCTCTAACTAATTTAGTAAACTATCATATGCCTAACTGAAGTTCACATGAAAACATGCTCAATTGTTCCATTATTACTTTGTAAGACATGAACTTCTTTTCCATTGAATACCAGGACAAAAAGAACACCCTAATAAACTATAAAAGAAAATATCATGTTCAAATCTACAAGCCTCCATTATATATTAATAGATCATGTGAAGACAATTAGCCATTTTGTATACTTCCAGTATGAAGTCTAAATAAATTATTTAAAAAAGTTTTCTGACACCAATACTGTATTAAAATTAGAATAATACCAAGGAGAATAAAATATTATATAGTGAGAGTATGTATATTTTAACACTATAGACTGCTTACAATACAGGATACTTAAATATGTTAAAATATATTAAAAATCTAACTTGTGCAGAACAAAATGCATAGTTTCTATTGTGGTCAAGCTGTTTCACCTCTGTATCTTGTTTTAGATGAAAAATTAATAGAATTAAACTAAGTTATTTTCTTCTCAACTTATGTTTAAACGTATGTAGATAAACTAAACATTTTGGTAAGCAAGATGAGCAACTAATATTAAGAAGTGGTAAAGGTTTTATAGCGATCTGGATTGATTTGGATTTGGACTTTGTTAAAAGGGCTTTATATGTTTTTAATATTAGAGATGGTATAATGAGAAAAAAACTGAAATATGGGAAAAGATGGAATTAATTATTGGAGATTTGGAGAAAAAGTGAAAAAAATAGAATATTGGTGAGAAAGAGAAGAATTTATTTTTGGAGTTAATAATGCTTAAATAAAAAAACATTTGGGGCACCTGAATAGTAAATGAATATGTTAGTTTAAGATTAAATATTTGCAGAATTAAGAAAGTATGATACAGGATGTTTGGATAGATAATGAGTTTGTAAATTTTTATTGATTAATGAAATTTATATAGAGTGATATATTCAATGAAAATTTGTTTTAGAAATGTTTTAATGAGCTTATAACAATATAAATAGATAGAGAATGTTAGTCTATTTTTAATTATATAACCTGGATGGAATGTTATATTAGTGAATGAATTGGTTTTAGAAAGATATTGACTTGATTATAATCTTTTAAATAAATGGAGAGTTCTTTAAGTTTAAATTTAAATGTGTGAATAAATATAGGTTTTTATAGATTGAATTTTTTTATTGATTAATGCAGTTGATGGTTAGACATAGTAATGAATTAATTTATCTGAAAATGCATTAATTTGATTATAAGATTCTATATAGACAGAGAGGGAAATTTTAAAGAAATATTGTGTATATATTTACTATGTTATTGTTTGTTTTAAAAAAAATGATCACCATGTTTCTACGTAGGTTCTTAAGCTGTGCTGGTGTAAAATGGAAAACTAATAAAAATTGTTTTGGAAAAAGAAATGAGTTTCTAAAGCAAAATTTGTTAGAAATGTTCTAACTTGTTTTTAAATATGCTCTTAAAATCAAGATTAATTTTTGCTTTGGTCTTCTTGAATTATTAACACGTATATCACAAGAAAGGAAAGAGAATTGTATAGTTGCTGACATCGGCAGATTTTGCTCTATGAGCTTTTAAAATTTAGAGTGATTATTTTTTCTACAATTCTTATACAGATTCAGATTTACCATTATTACAAATATTTTGTGATATATAACCACAGAGTCCTTCTCACAAGCTAGCAATGCATCTACAAATATTGATTGAAAATATATTACTGGGCCAAATAATATGAGAAATGTTAAATAACATAAAGAGGATTTTTTTTAAAAAAAATAAATTTATCAATTAAACCTGAAAGATGCTATTGTTCCAGCAAATCAAAAAATTGAAATACTCATTGCTTGGACATAAATTACTTAACAAATCCCACTGTAATGAGATAATCTGAGTTATTTCAACAAGGTTTGCATGGATGACCACCATAGTTAAATATATCCTTGATCACTATCCCATATAAATGGTTTACAATCATTATATTATCCTACTTATTGTTTGACAATGCCTATGGAAAATTGATTGAAAACTATGCACTGCAGGGAATGAATTATTTTGCTTGTGGGCTTTACAGATGTGAGGGAGTCTAACCCATTTAAAAGAAGGTACTCCAAAATGAAACCAGAACAATGTAACAGTAAAGCTATATTGTTACCAAGAAATCTACATGGATATAAATAAAATATTTAGATAGGCTTGAGTGACAGATGATAAAACTCGCATATCAGAAGGCACTCTTCCAGTTATTGGGGAAGAATGTCAAACTTTCACTGTGTATGATGAACATGGATGGACCAGATCCAAAAGGACATTTGGTCTTAGTTATTGAAGATGGATTTCTTGTTTAGAAGGACTCATCATTAGAACCTGTAATGTGAGATGCATGAATACAACAAAAGTGAAATTATTGAAGTGGAAATAAAGTGTACTAAGCAGGATATTTTAGGAATAGTTGAATTTTGGTGAATTAAATTAAATGATTATTTCTATTCAGGGCATGAGACTACTTAAAATGGAGCAGCAAATGGGTTTGCTACAGTATGTGACAGGATAATATCTGTTAGAACTAGTGGATATGCAGTGAACATCAATGTTACACAAATGTATGCACCTGCCACACGTATTGAGGGATTCTGTAACAAATTGTAAGCAGCACTAAATCCAACATCAAAAGATGACCCAGTATTACTAATTGATGACGGAATGAAAAAGTTGGAGAAACAAAGAAATCTGAATTTACAGGAAACTTTGGACTGCATAAACACAATAATGAAAGAGATAGCTAAATCAAGTTCGGGAAGATAATTGTTTACTACTAACTCCGGCTTCACAGACTCTCTTTTAAGGTTAAATCACATCAAAGCAGTAATAAGAAAAAGAAGAGAGGGAAATGAAATCCAGTCAGTCAGAATACTTCCAAGTACAATCTATGGAACATATCTTGAAAAGATTTAACAATATAGGGGTTAAATTTGCAAAATTAAAAAAGACTAGGTGTACCAGTAAGATTCTACTTGGAGTCAAAATATAAGACCAATGTGAAAACAGATTTAATATAACTAATTTAAGTCAAAGAAAACAGAGAATGTACTGAAAGACATAAAAGACACATGAAAATTTAATAGGAAAAATATTAGTTTGGGTAATGAAACATCTGCAAGAAAACAATCAAACTCAGAGAGCACCAAGGACCTCTAGTAGGAAAAAAAAGTCAAAAGGGTCAACCAGCTTTCCATACAAGTGATTATTATAGCAAGTAACAATACAACAATAACAGCAACAAAAACTCTTGAAAGTAAAACAAAGGAAACAAAGAAGAAAGGATGGCTTCTGTAAACATGAAGGATGTACAACAACCAAATACAGAGTCAAGTAAGAAATGACAGGGACTCAAGAATGTCAACATAGAAAGGAAATGGTAAGAAAATGATAATTAGGAGATACTTTTCAGAAGACCAAAGTAACCATAGGAAAATGTACAGTTTATGTAGGACTACTCAAGATTAATCCTGGAACTAATGGAGACAAATAAGGTTAAAGGAAGATTGACAGATACATATGGAAATATTTTCTAAAAAAGGCATAATAGGAGAGAAAATTTGTGGAGAGAGGATATATTCCAAAACTGACTCTGCTGGAAAGTAAGTTACAAAAGGTGAAGAGACAAGTGCTAAGTGCTACATCCACAAATATACAATAAGCCTGTGAGGCCAAGATCTCTGTGTATACTGATTTGAAAGAAGAATGATGTAAGAAGGTGTGTAAATTACTTAATGCACTAATTCCTTGTGTAAGCAATATCTATTTATGTTCTTACAAACAGAACCAAACATGGAGAGCAAAATGTTAAATGAATAGGCAAGTTTCAGGCAAGGCAGAAAGGCAAGAGATCTTAATATAAGATGGATAATAGGATGAACGAGAGGAAGCTTTGATTTATTGACTATAGCTTTGATTTACTGACTATAGCAAGGCCTTGTGTAGATTATGCCTGGATATGTGTTTATTAAAAGTAAAGATGGACAGTGTGCTAAAGAATTAAGGAGTTTAATTTGAAGGAAGAATACAGTGATACATTTAGACAAGTTCATGAAAGCTAAGTATACTTATATGATCAGAATAAATTATAAGAGCAGAATAATTAAGTCAATTAACTTTCCAGCAGCAATGTATAGTTTTGAAATTGGGTCACCCAGACAGAATAGGAAAAACAAAACAGATGCTTCTGAACAGTAGATCTGGAGAGTAACTGAGGGTTTCAATCCATCCTTAATCTAATCAAGACTGACTATTCCCTTGAGGTAATATTCAGATCATCACTTGGATGTGATAGGAGTGGATGATGATCTAGAAATAACTGTATTTGTCAAGTAGACAAGGGAAGACAATGGAAAAGATGGAAGAACAGGCTCAAAGACTTTACAGAAATATTCCTGAAAGAACAATGAGGCAGATAAGCTAAAAACAGCCATGCAGTTGCCAGGAATCCAGCCCCATACAGAAGCACTTCATTCACATTTATAATTTATAAATGCATTGTGTATGAATCATTTATAATGCATTTTGCATATTTAAGAAATATTTCTTATAGTTTTCTTACATGATAAGATGCAAATTGTTACAAAAAGGGCATTGATGGAATGTGGGCTAGAGTCTCACATTTTTCCAATCACAAAGATGAGCTGGATACTAAGGAATAATTTTATATCTTTTTTCCAGTAATCATGAGAGCGGTGAGATAGTTTAGCGGTTAAGTTACGGGCTTATCAGCTGGAAAGCCGTCAGCCCAGGTTCAACACATGTGATGTGATGAGCTCCTGTCCTAGCTACAGCTCCTGTCAACCTAGCAGTTTGAAAGCATTCAAATGTGAGTGGATAAATAGGAAGGTAACAGTGCTCTGTGATGGGAAGGTAACAGTGCTCTGTGATGTCATGCTGGCCACATGACCATGGAAATGTCTTTGGACAGTGCTGGCTCAATGGTCTTGAAATGGAGATGAGCACTGCCCCTTATAGTCGGCAATGACTAGCAGAATAAAATCTACAAGGGCCCTTTACCTTTACCCTTATTTTTCCAGTATCATGGCAAGTAAGCTATAAAAGTGGGCCAATGAAATGCAATGCATTGGACAGATATATTGCTGGCACGAAGAGTTTCTTGGATTAAATACTTTTTATCTTGGCAAACTTTTTTTTGACAGTATAGTAATTTAAATAATACTTGGCTATATAAATTAATGAAAGAGGTTCAGCGCACTGATACTTGGGGAAGGGCTGAGGTTCTGAATGCTTTTGGAAGACTTGGAAGCAGTGGCGGGATTCAGCTGGTTTGCACCGGCAGAAACAGCTAATTTTTTGTTGCCTAGGCCCAGAATGGACTTCTGGAAGTGGCATCCACACAGAGAACCAGTTGTTCACATATTTGAATCCCACCACTGCTTGAATGGTAATTTTGAAGGTCATTCCAGCTGCTGTCTGTACTTGTGTATGCACAGCCACTTTGCTGGTGATTCCAATGGAAGTGTCATCTATGCATGCAAATCATTGAGGCAGCCATGAAAGTCTTTCAAAGGAAGTGGCTTTCTTAATGCATTGAGTGCAGTGCTCTGATCACTTAGCATTGTGAAGCCGTAAAGGAAGGAATTGTAGTGGGAGATGGGGAAAAACTGTGAATTGTATACTTACAATTGAATAAACATGATAATCTAAGATATTGCCAGCTTCTATGATATTTAGACCAAGATATAAAATTCCCTAGCTTTACTATTAGCCAAATATCTATTAATGAGGTTCTTGACTTGTGAACATTCAACTGGACTTCTCTGCCCTCTGAAATCTATGCAACCAAAACATTCACAATAATTGCAAAGAATTGTCAATGAATGATTCTATTAGTTAAGATATGAAAAAAATGTTTGATTCAGACTATCTAAGCTGTAGTTCCTTACAACCATCACTCAGTAAGAAATCTCTTTACTCCCATTTACTGCACCTTCCACTGGCAATGTAATTAAAAAGAGGACCCAAAGGTTCAAAACTAAGACAAAATAAAATGGTAGCCAGCATTTTAAAAACTTAAAGTGATTTTACTTTAAACTCTACTGTTTTAGAGTACTTCTTAGATACCAGAAAACAGAGTTCCACTTAAAACTAAGCATGTCATTTAAAAGTACTCTGCGATCCTTGAAAACCATGGAACAATGCACTGTGTTCCTTTTACAAATCAGTCTACAATATACAAAACAGAATACTGTATTATCTATAGAGCTAATGCTGTATCTCATCTTTCAAAATGATGAAAGGTTTTTTTTCAGTTATCCTTGTCAATCTAGCTGTCTTTCTACTCAGCCTTCGGCTAACACAAATATGCCTTTCCTCCTTTGAACTAGATGCCTTCAGGAAAGCATGTTAATGGGAAAATGTATATCAAAATTATCTATAACTAGGAGACAATCCCAAGAAGACCTTGTGCTTAGTGTGCATGTGTGTGTTCTGAAAAGCATGGGACGTCCCCTCCCGTATCCTCGCACGCAGGTTACCTCTTGCTTGTCATGGTTACACTTCTCGCACATGGCCGGCGAGGAGTAATGATGGAAGACGGAGCCCGATAGGTTATCGATGATCATTAACTCCCCGTCGAAGGAGTCTTTAATTATTAAAGACACACTGTCCAGCCATAAGTTCTCCTAGGGGACAAGAAAGGGGGGAGGATGGGAGACATTATTTTAAGAGCTCCATGTTTTTGTTTAATGTAGCTATCTTCTGCCACTTTCACTCATACTGGTTAATTCTGTAGCAAATTGTCACACCTGAGTGTACAGTCCTACAGAATATGAGTAAATGAGGCAGAATATGGCCCTATACAAGGATGTAAAATGAAGGAGCTCAGATGGATATTGGGCAGAGAAGCACCATTGAAACTTGCTATAGAACCTTCACAGGTGTTCCTTCAGTTACTTTGTAAAATAATTTTGCTGTATTTCCACTATTGTACCTTAGGCCTGCCTCATGGTATCTTTTTAAATTTTATTTTTCAACTTCTTATAAAATCCAGATTTCATTCTTTTCAGCACTAATTGGTGTTCTAATTTCTTACTTTATGAAAATTTGAACTCCTAGCCTAGAACTGACTCTGCCAGTCACAGGATGTTTAAATTTTTTTTCTATCATAGCTCTCTACACTCTTCTAAGCTATCTTTGTTCTCCCAAATTAATGTGCCAAAAACTTGTTAGCAGCAAGGAAAAATGCTCCGCCTACCTGTGCTGGAGAGTAACATGTCATGCATAGATGTCCTTCAGAGTCCTTTCTCCCACCTCCTCCATCTTGTCCAGGATTCAGTGAGCTAGTGCTATGAGGGCACAATCCATGTGCCATCTCAAGCTCAATCTCAGCATCCATTTCTGCATCCTCCTGTGCTTCCTTGTTGCTGTCATCTAGGTGCTTCATAAGGACAGCTACTACAACATTGATGAGGACAAATTGGGCTGTGAGCACGAAGCTAACAAAGTAGAGTGGAGAGATGAACTGAAGGTTGCTCAGGCAGCTCCGGTCATCATGAGTGCAGTCACGTAGTGTATCCTTGAGGAATTAAGTTAGGCCAAAAAAGTAAAAAAACAAAAAGAAAGAAAACCAAACAATTCCCCATACAACACACATATACGAGCACAAAACACAGAGAAAACGGAGAAGTTATTTTTAAAAAATGAAGCTGCTTTCTCAAACAAAATATTTAAACAAGACTCAAGACTCCTAATGTATGATATTTCGGGACACATACTTTTCTCACTCCAACCTCTACTTCATTAATTTATCACTTTCTGGATCCACAAGAAATCTGTCATATCAGTAAGTCCCAATTAACTACAAAATGATATCTCTTTTTATCTTAACACACATGAATAGAAACTAATGCAGCAATGACATATTTATCCCTGTCCCACGTCCCAATATTCTATTGAGACAGAGTATTTTGCACTTTGAGATATATATTTTATAGTACTCAATTTAATATGAAATGTGAATATTTTAGTGACTAAAAACTACACTAACTTGTCACTTTGAAGAGCCCACTTATGTGCATTTAAGATTCTCCTACATTGGTCCAAATTAGGACAGATATGGGACAGTGATTCTATTGAGCAAAATAATATGAGTGAGTATCTGTATGAAACCAATGGTGGGATTCAGCCAGTTCGCACCAGTTCTGCAAAACTGGTAGCTAATTTTTTGTTGCCTAAGCCCAGAATGGACTTCTGGAAGCGGCATTCACACAGAGAACTGGTTGTTCACATATTTGAATCCCGCCACTGTATGAAACACAGAATTTATGATTGTTGTCTTAGCCAAATCACAATATTTTGTTCAAAGAGTTGGTCTAATTTTGTATTAGTACAGTACTCAAAATCCATTTGCTACCAAAATATTGTATTTTAAACATTATTTAACGAGATTGTTCACTGCAGCTATCCCAGTGGAAATGTCTTTTGAGGAAGCACATGGATGCCCAGGAGTTCTCTAGGGGCTCCAAACAACTGCTCCAAATCTAAAAGCAGCTGAGGCTGTTTTATGGCCTTGAGGAACAGATTCACAGAGGCACTTTGTCTGTTGTGCATCTCCTCAAATGATTTGCCAGGCTCAATATTCTTTAACTTTAATGCAGTCATAAAAAGATTTGCATTGCCCACAGCTCTTATATGATGCTTCAAGAATAACTGTTTATGTGGTGTCTTAGCCCTATGCTATCCCTTCCCTTCCCTCATGCCTCTTCAGGAATTCACACTCTGTACAAACTCTAAAAATATTGCAAAAAATTCATACATCCCCCCAAATGATGGGCTAGATCAGTGATGGTGAATCTTTTAGAGACCGAGTGCCCAAACTGCAAAGCCAAAATCCACTTATGTATCGTCAAGTGCTGGGTGGGCGTGGCCCATTGGGTGGGCATGGCTGTGGTGGTAATGGCAGACTGGGTGGGACTAAAAAATTCAATCAATCAATTCCAACTTTGCGAGAACTTTTTTTTCCCATGAGAAGTTGAAATTGATTGATTGATTGAACCTTTTTTTTTTCCACACGGTGGCAGAGGCCTAAAGCAAAAAGGTTTTATAAAACCCAGCTGAAGGCCTAGGACTGGGGCAACAGCTCGCGTGCCCACAGAGAGGGCTCTGCGTACCACCTGTGGCACACGTGCCATAAGTTCACCACCACGGGGCTAGATGCATCATGCCAGGTTCTGTCTATCATTATCAATAACATTCTAACACTTCTTGTAATGCCAGACATTTGTAGTCATAGTTTGGATAGTTTCTCTTTCAATCCTGACTTGTCTTACCTGATTTTAATAAATGCAGATCTGTTTCTATTTCAGGACACTATTCATGAGAGCACAAAATATGTCTCAATTACCTTCATAATGCCATTCCAGTTGTCACCAGTGGAGACCTGGAAAAGTGTGAGGAAGGCCATTCCAAAATTCTCAAAGGTGGCATGGCGGCTCATTCCTTCACATGGGTTCTCATCATTGCAGACTGGAAAGAAGAGATGAACAAATGACTATTTCTGTTGCTGCTTTCTCAGTGCCCAAGCCAAAATGTGATTGAGTGGAGAGGAGACAGAAGTAGCTCAACAGAAAGAGGAAAATAATGAGGCAATCAAGTCCAAAGTGGTACTTAGTTTCTTATACACATGTTTACTTCAATTACTGTAAAAAAATTAAAAAACAAATAAATAAAATAAACTACTCTTGAAGAACAAAGAGATGAATGTTTCTTAAATTAATTCTCCTTAATAATCTCCCATGTTACAAGTGCTTTGTAACCATGTGACAAAATAAAAATATGAAGAAAATAGATGTTATAAAGAAAAAATACAAATGATTAAAAACTGGAAAAAGAAATTCTATTCTTTTTCAATATTAGACATGCCTTGAAGATTAAGACAACAAAATTATCTATCTCTGAAGAAGTTGAAAGAAAAACACGAATTGCCTGCAGACATTAAATAATGATCTATCTTGCACAATATTAATGGAAATGCATAGACTAATTGTCTGCAATAAGCATGAGGAACTCCTGTCATGCTAGATTTCTTAATAAGATAAAAACAATCAAAATAAATTCAGATCATTCAGCTAAAGTGAAACATATTATTGGAGTTTTCCATTTATGGCAGCCATGAACTGTAAATTACAAAGGGTAATCCTTTATTTGAAAATTGTTTGATATGGATGACTATCCATCTGGAATCCAATTTAAAAATATATAAGACAGGAGAGCAGAGCCCTTGACATTACCCATAAATAGTCACTCAGATAGCAGAACAAGCAGGCATGCATGTATGTAAGTAATCTAATTACTGCCCTCAAGGTGCATTAGATTTCTATTTAAATCATAGGAATTATTTCTAAATTAGCATATAATTTTGGTAATTCCTCCCTCTTTGTGTCAGTGTGTGATGTAATTGGTGTTAGCAATTCCAGCTTTTCTCTATGACACACCTTTATGCTGGAAAACTTACCAAGTTTGCCAAAAAGCTCTACTCCTAGAGCAGCATAAATGAAAAAAAGGAGCATGAAGAGGAGTCCAAGATTCCCAACCTGTAAGTAAATCAAATTAATGTCAAATATTTCATAGGATCCACAAGAAAAGACTCTATGTTGAAAAAAAGAAAAAGAGACTGAACACATGAATTAGCACAATTGGCAGTTCAAGTGTTCATCAGGATCAGACACTAAAATTAGATAATTCAAAGCATGCTTAAAAGAAGCTGGAAAAAACCTTAACACAACACTGAAAGTTGTGTTTGATATACAACATTCAATTCCAGAGGTGCACACAGCTCAAAAGGTTTGGGTGAAAGTCCATCAAAAGTTATTACCAAATAGTAAGTTTTAGTGTGATAAGGAAAAAATAAGTAAATGAAAATTCATATGAAATTAAATCAAATTTAATTTTTGATCTATCCCCATCGATGTTGGAGAGAGATTGGATGAGCCAGGAGGAGGAGTCAAACAGGGATTAGTCGGAATCCCTATGTGGGCACAAGAGGATGAAGTCTGATCCCCCCCAAATGCCGTTGAACCTTATCTAGTTTTATCCAGATGCAAACTGTCAGTCTGAGAAGATATCTGTGTATAGGCTTGAGCAATAAACAGCTAAATGAATTCTTCATGTGTTGATAATATATTATTATTTTGAAAGGTGGACTTCCTTGGTAGCTTCTTATAAAACAGTTTCCCAAAATGAATAACATGCAGTTTTCAGAAGTCCATCACATGTACCTGTCTGCTAGGTATTGTGGTTGACAACCTGAGGATCATGTGGTTACACACTTTCACATGGGAACATGCTCCAAACAGACATAAACCAAAGGAGTTAGAGGATAGATGGGAAGAGATTTAATTTTGAAGTGCTTTGTTCTAAATTGCAGGGAAGCATAATGTTGTGGATAATTTGGTTGTTCCCTGCAGAGTCAATATACAAAACTGGAAAATTCAGCCTAATCACTTAAATGTAGAACATTTTTTTGCTGCCTTGAGTAAAGCTCATAGCACAGCCTTAACTATGGCTTCATCTTTGCAGTGCCTATAATGTAATTTTATTAAATGTTTTAGAAAGAAGTAAGGCACTGTGCTTTTTAGAGTTCTTGGAGCAATTACTAATTCATGCATTAGAAAACACAATTTTCACATGCTGATAATTTAACAAGAGTTTTTACAATGGTTTTTATCCAATGTCAGAAAAACCTAGCCTTGAGGATTTCCCTGGAGCCCAGGAATGGGAAATCAAGGGTATAAATGCTGCATTAATTCCCAGGAAGTGGAATCAGAGCATTTTATGATCTCTGAGATTCCATCCTTGTGATAATTGCTTTGATGCTCTGACTGTTTGATGCTGGTCCTGTTGTAGTAGTTTCGTATTTTTATTAAGTTAATTTTTTAGTAAGATTTAAATTACATTTTTCTGGATTCATAAAATACTAAAAATAGAATAATGTAAAGTATAATCAATGCACCTAAAGAGTAAAATACTGTATCTTGCCTAAGATTTCTGGGAAGTATAAAACAAGTGGTTGCTGCTTAAAAAAAGAAAGTAAGATACATAGTGAAATTATATCATGATTTAGCAATCTAAGCTCTGTTGTAGATTTATTTTCAGTGGCATACCTAATATGCATAATATTCATAACATTATATAAAATGCTAATTGAATTTTTCTGTTTATAAAGTAAGAATAAATACAAATAGTATTAGTAGTTGACAATCAAAACAAACATGGTATGCTATATAAGAAGGTTGGAAACAATTTGAATTGAAATTGCAGTCCTGGAGAAAAAGGGATTCAAGCCTTTCTATGTCTCCTTCCTTTATTTCCCCAACAGAAATGGTATCTGCCCTCTCTACACTTTCTGCTACAATATTAGTCACTGGGTCTACATATTCTAAATATCCAGGTATAATAGTTATAGGTAACTGCACACCTTCTAATGATAATCTAATCTGTAGCTAATAGCAGCTGTGTAGTGCATGATGTGTGAATGCTTTTTAGCAGGAGAATAGCAAGGGAGAAAAGAGTTAATCCCTGGCTTCAACACAATAGTTGCAGACCAGCTCTATAGTTGTTTTTAAGACAACACAAAGATTTTGGAGACTCTATTGCTATTTCTAATAGCCGTTCTTTGGCAATGCAAATTTATACGTTACTCAGAACAATGTCCTTTCCTCCTTTTTAGAAATTTGCAAGGTCATCCAATTCTACAACAACTCTGGATAGCATACAATAAAAAGCAATCACACATTTCTACTCCCACAGCCCTTAATAATATTGAAATCACTTTTAAAAGTCTTCCTGGAAAAAAGGGACAGATAGTCTTTTCCATCTTGATACTCTCATGATCTAGTAGTAGAACTATAACTCCCAATATTTCAACAATCATGGCCAGTGAAAATTTTGGGACTTGTAATCCCATAACATCTAGTACACATTAAATTTGGGAAACTAGGCTACATATATATTATCTGCTATGTGAAATGATTAACAGCATTACAGTGGAATAAACATTGTGTAATGTGGGCAGTGTGGTCATAGCTAGCCAACATCTCTATGAAATGATTCACAGAGACATTTGGGAAATGTACTTTTATAGTTTGATATCATTCAAGGACGACTTTTAAAATGATGTTAGGAAACTATTTCTTACTACTATTTCTTGTGTAAAATGAAGGTAGTAATTTGATGATTACTCCATTAAAAATAATTCTTTTTAAACATTCACAATTCAGAATTAGAAAAAAATTGTATCACAATTCTCTCACTTGTAAATTGTGTTGCAGTCCCTGTTTTCATCATGAAAAAAGAGTGACTCGGTGACCATTTAGACGCTCATAGGCCAGGTCTAGTGCCCTGTATTGACCAGGTTTCACCTACTTGGTGCCATTCAGATGGGCCAGAATTTCTGCTCCTTGGGAGAGATTCCCAACACATCCCAAATGTGCCTGACTAGAGAAGCATAATACATTGTATGGCATTGTATTGAAGATAAGATCATACAAAGACTATGTTGAGTAAAGGTCCTATTTTTCTCTCATGCACAGAGAGATACATTATCTGACAAGTTCACTAATAAACTCTTTTCTCTGGGACAAGAATAAATAAAACATCAACACTGCTTGAGAACAGTTGCTTATTTGGTAAATGTTACCATTTTTAACCCTTAAAAATGGCTGGTTTCTCTTTTCTTTCCTTACTTAACCAGTTATACCTGTGCTTGTTTATGAGGAGAAGGAATCTCTAAAACTGATTTTAGCTGGAGATTGACAAAGTGAAGGAAACAAATGTTGCTCAGAATTTCTGTCTGTATTTATAAACTTTTTATATGTACTTTTTCTTTTAAAAGGATCGTCTTAAATTCAAGTTTCTCTTTCTTTTAGGTAAATGCAGCATTTTTCTGGTTCCTTTAAATTAGTGTTGACTGTAGCAATTGCCTGAAAAGTTCCTGCAATTTTTTGGGAGAGATTTTGTGGTTTGCCATTATCTCTTTCTTAGGGCTGAAAGAAAGTGATGGCCAAAGTTCACCTAGCTGGATTTATGCCTAAGGCAGGACTAGAACTCATGGTCTCCCAATTTGTAGCTTGGTGCCATCCCCACTATACCAAACTGTTTTTCTTAAATACAGCATTAGTTAATATTAGTAGTTTGCCTCATCTGGTAGAAGAATTAAATTATCTTCATTATCTGAGTAGATTGAAATGCATATAGTGGATGCAAGCACTGGCAAAGCTTCTGGGGAGAAAATGATGACCTCAGCAACTTTCCCCTGTTCCCTGGCAGGTGCTCATCAAAATAAATCAAATTCTGAAAATTTTAAATATATGACACAAAAAAAGAGGTATCATTTATTTTTTTAGGATTTACTTTGAGAACAAAATCAATGGACTCTTAATGAAAAGAACATCCAGCCCAAGAGAGAAAAAGTGAAACAAAATAAGGAAAATAGCAGCAGAATTACTTAATGCTATAAAAACATTGTTCAGTGAAGCCTAAATAGATCAAAGAATCTAGGGAATAAGTGCTAATTACTTAAATAGAGTTTCTTATCCTGAACTGTAGAATGAAAGAGATTGGAACTAATACACATTTGCTTAGTTGAATCACCATGCAGGTAGTCCTTGTTTAGTGACAACTGGGACTAGCAATTTGATTATTAAATTAAGTGGTTGCTAAGTGAAAGTGTAACAATGCTTATGATCCTACTTCAGATTTCTTTTGCTTTATAAACCTGCGGAGGGGTAGTAAATGTGAGGATATATTGTAAAATTACTTTTTATTACCATGATAACTGAACCATTGCTAAATGAAGCAGATGTTAAGCAAGGACTTCCTGTAGCGGGCATGCTGGATCAGCTGCATAAGATTTTAAAGTATCTGTTTCTAGTTGAAAGGCCTCTGCTTCAAGTGGTTTTGTACTACAGTAAGGCAGAGCTTTATAAGCTATTAAAGGTAGTCCTTGACCTATGACAGCAACTGGGCCTGGAATTTCTGTCACTAAGTGAGGAGATCATAAAGTGTGATTGGACTGCTTAATCAAAACCAGAGGGAAGCTGGAAGGAAGTTGCAAGTCCCTGACTGGCACGCAGATAAGTGGCTGCTACTGGGTGGGGGAATGAATGAGATGGTGAATAACAGGCACAATGGAAGCTGAGGAGGGAGAGAGTGGGTGCATGACAGGTAAGGTGGGGGTCAGGGAGGGTGTTTGAGGGAGTGAGGGGATGTCTGAGAGGTGTAGTGCCAGTTGGAGAGATGCACAGGGATGTGTGACATATGCAGCACACATAGGATGTGCAACGGATGTAGTAAAACTGGGGAGGGTGTGAGGGGTTGCACGAGAGATGCAACACAGGTTATTTTAATCCATTTATTAGTTCAATAGCTGCAAATTAACTCAGTTCATTTAGTAATATGTAGTACACAAAATTATTTCCCACTTTTGCTCTCACATAAGATAGCCTTAGAAATTTCTGATCTAAGTATTTTATATTCTTCAACTTTAGAATTTATGCAACATTATACTTAAAAACAGCTTTTCTTACCTGTGGCAGAGCTTGCACTACAGTGTCCAATAAAGCTCTCATCCCAGTTGCCATCTTCAAAAGTTTCAAAACTATCAAGAGAAAGCAAGGCAAGCGATAACTTATTGCTGGGGAAACAAATACTGTTTTGTTTTTCTCTAGAGCAGCAGATCAAAAGTTAATTCTGTTGTTGGGATATCTTCTACTGAATGTAGACATGAATATGTATAAATATCTGTGGTCAATTTGAAATGTACACCATTATGTTAGAGCTAACAAGAATTTGAATCTAAAATTACCTTTTTGCTTCAGATTCTAACTAGTGCTAATTAGAAATTGTACTCACTCTATGTAGGGAGTCATGGATAAGGAACTAAATGGGTGCAGAATATGCCAAGGGCCCCACATTCTGGCTGTTAACTAGCTAAGTATCTTGGCTGATATGTAAATTTATTGTGGATGTTTTTTATTGTTTTAAAATGTTTTAATGTCTTTATTGTAATATATTTTTTGAATTGTAAGCAACCCAGAGTCATTGACTAAGATGACAGCTATAGAAACTGAATAAATACATAAATAAATATTTGTTTAGCTCTTTTCCTCTTCATATAAACTATTGCTCAAAATACAATACAATACAATACAATACAATACAATACAATACAAAAATGAGGTTGAATAGAACTGAATTTATTCAATTTAGATGTCACCCAACTCCAAACAACTCTGGCTGGGTCACAATGTAACAAAGAAAATAAAATCAGATAAAACACAAGATGGCAAATCCAGTCAACAACAAGACTCACAAGGGACTCCAGCCATCTTAATCCAAGGCTTGGGAAAAGAGGCAGATCTCCCTGGAATGCTATTAGGGTGGGAGTCAGCCGAATTGTAAGGGAATTTCAATCCAGATGGCAGAAGCTATGACAGAGAAGTCACATTTCCTGGCTCCCAAAAGATGATGCTGTTGAAGTGACCTGAAGTACAAACCCTATCAGTTCATATTGGCTATCCAGATATCATGGGAGATAGATCAGTGGTGGGATTCAAATATGTGAACAACTGGTTCTCTGTGTGGATGCCGCTTCCAGAAGTCCATTCTGGACCTGGGCAACAAAAAAATAGCTACTGGTTCTGCTGAACTGGTGCGAACTGGCTGAATCCCACCACTGAGATAGACAGTTCCTCAAACAGCTAGTCCCTAGGCCATGTAAGACTTTATAGGTCTATAATCAGCAACATAAATTGAAGCAGATCAGCAACCAGGACAGCTTGCAGAGCAGAATTGACACACAAGCATATCAAGGCAAGTCCACCATTGGCTGCACTGCTGCATTCATGACCAGTATAAATTTCTAAGTGGTCTTAAATCACAACAGAGTGCATTGCAATAGTCAAGCTGTGAGGTGACTAAGACATGAATGACTGAAGAGCCTCCTGATCTAATTATGGTAATTTATGGCATTTTCTAACATGATTTATTTATTCAGCAATTCTACCCATTTTATCAGGTTAAAAAGTATGAATCCAACCACATTATATAATCAAGCTGGATGGCTGTGTCTGCACAATTTTTGTTTATATACAGGAAATAACAGCCAACAACTCTGTGCACTTTACAAATTGTTAAAAACATTTAAAAGCAAGAAACAAAGCAACACAGAGCAAAAAAGAAAGAAAGAGTTCAGATAAAAAAAACCCCAAACCCAGATAGGAGCAGGAAAAGAAAGAAAATGGGTATCAATGATCCTCATCAAAGGCCTGGGTAAAGAGCCATATCTTAGGGGCCCTTTGAAATACCAGTAGGATGAAGGCCATTTGAAGTTCAGCAAAACCTCATTTCAGAGGATAGGCACTGTTACAGAGAAGGCAAATTTCTGGGGTCCCAAAAAAATGGTATTGTTTAATTGATGTAACTTGCATACACTAGCCCTGCCAGATCAAATCAGCCAGGCAGATACCAACTAATGACATAAACATCAGGATCTCAGTGCTATCCTTCTGCTGATGGATTGTTCCCCAAAACATAGCTATAAGTCAGGTTATTCTTATTCCTCTTACCTCGGGCAATACGAAGCACTCTCATGATGCGGATAATGGTGGGATTGATTGGAAGGGCAGCATTGATTTCAATCTCTTCCAGAGTAATTCCCATGACTGAGAGCAGAACAATAGCTAGATCCAGCTGGTTCCACCTTTAAGAAATTGAAGAAAATAAGACACCTTTTCTGCCTTAATGAAAGATGGAATCCAGTTATTTCTTCATTCCCCCCCAAAAAAATCTAAACTAGGTTATGAATAGGTTATTTAGAATATTGCATTAATCAAGTAAGCCAATTTTAAAAATTGAAATAAATATGCTTATTAGTTTAATTTAATATCCTAAAATAGTTTAATTGATATTCTTTATTTTGGCGCTCAATATATTTTGAGGAAGTTCATCTTTATGGGTGTGTTTTTTAATGATAGATGATGATATTTCATACTGAACTAGATCAATGATTAGTCTACTGTAAAATTAAGTATTTTACCTGGGCAGAAACTTTGTGAACATTTATTAAGATAAAAAGACTGACCAAATAAAATGAAACAATAGTGAATTCTAATGAACAAAGCAGTATTTATCCTTGTTTATATTTTAATTTTAAAGCAATGCTTTGTAAAAACATGATCATATGGATTACTGATTGTTCTTCTACCACTTATTCAATAACACATAATAATTTTGATTACAGAATCCTGAATATAAAAAAAGAAAAGGAATGATTTATGGAAATCTCTTCAGTTATCACCATGAAATACTGAAACGTCTGCTGATTTCTACTTAGTGGTATTAGTGGGACTTTCAAATCCTGGTACACCATTACTCTCTACAAGAAGACATTGGGAATGTATTTCTTAGTTTTAAATATAATAATGTATAGTTGCAACAATCAAAGTATACATGCATAATTTCTGATCATCTGATTCCCCCAGATATCATCTTCATTCCAACTCACCTGTCTTTAAAAAAGCGTCTCAGTCCAAAGGCTACAAGCTTCAAAACTGCTTCCAAAACAAAGACTGTAGTAAACATGTAGTTGCAATACTTAAGAGCAGTTTCCAGGGACTACGAATAAGAGGAAATGGAAATATTACTAACATAAAGTTCTCAGACTGATATGGTCTGTAGCTGGTAAAGAAACAAGATGAAAATATGGAAGTGCATTCTCTTTTTTAAAAAAATTCTTGTTACATTCCAATTAAATTCTCAGTTTGCAACAGATCCCACACATTCATAGTTCTCTTTGGTAGTTTCTAGGATAAATACCAACTTCCTCTTTGCCCCAATGGAACAGAGTTGGGGACCGCATTGCCTGATTGGTCTTTGTGCAAATGACACCTTTCTGCCAACTCAGAGCAGGAAAACAGTTTATCCTATTTTTAAAATACTGAAAAGGTTGGATGAAAGTACTGTGCAAGTTGCATGAGAATAAAAATATAGTGTCTCACCTTATGCTTGAAAGGAGGATAAGGAAAAGACATTAGGTCTGATGCTAGGAGGATGAGTAACCAGACCTGGCTTCAGATCCTGGGAGATTGCCTGCCCTTGAGAGGCCCCTGATTTATTTTCAGGTAGTTAAGCTGCCCAGATATAAAGATGCCATGACAAAGAAAGCAATAATGTTGCACACAGAGCTGTGAGCAATGCACCTGAACTCATCAGTGCTGTCATCCTAATTATGCCATTCCTAATGTGCATACACTGCTATTAGAACTAGCATAATTAAGATGACGGCATGAAAGAGTTCAGGCTCACCACTGTTCCTCCAGTTGTTACTGCAGGAGGGAAAGACTGCTGCCATGGAATTGTGTTAATGTTAATCTTTACACGTACATAATTAAATGGTGGTGAGTTTGGAAAGACAGTTTGGAATTCCACTTTTCATCTCCCCCAGCATGGATAGAGAACAATCAGCAACAGGTACAGCAGCAGCCAGGGTGACCAAAATCTTTGAACACTGAGCTATTCATACCAAGAATTGTCTGACATAGGGGATCTTTATTGTTTTAATACTTTCTTCATTGTTCCTTTTTGGCAAATTCCATGAAGGATCACTGGTCTTTATTCTTTTTACAAAAAACAGTAGCATATCCCCCATACCATACTTGTGCAGAATTTTAGTTAAAATTACTATGTACTGGACATGGCTTTTAAGTTTGATTATGTTTTTCTCTTTAAGTGGAAGAATAAACTATGAGGAGATATTTGTTCAAGGATTTTCAAAGTATTAAGCAGTAGTTTCAATTTATCACAGCTAATGGAATAGATACCCTTTTCTATGCTGGCGTTCTAATGATTGGCAAACTATTTGGTGACCATTTACCCAATGTTATTCATTAAATTCAATAGAGATTCTGTCAAAGGACTGTAGTATTAAATAATTTCTAGGTATAATAGAAGAGAGGATAATGGAGATTAAAGAAGATGGTATCCACTAATTCTCAGGGAGGCCTCAATTTCATTTTTGATATTCTCATTAATATGAAAGAACTAGAAAGAAAAACATAAAATAGAATGCATGCGAGATTTAGCCAAGTAGTATCGTTTTCCAGATCATTATGTGTTGTAAAAGGAAAGAAGGATAGGAATTCCAATGTTTCAGTGACACATCTGGAAGGCTTATGGTTAGCACATTAGGTACAATTCTGTGCAAATTATATCTGTTATTATGCAGATTACACAAAAATTGATGAATGAGAATTCATCATATTCAGCTGCAAATGAGTTGTATTGCATTCCCAAAGAGAAAATCAATCTGAAGAGAACTTCATTCTCTACAGCATTTGGATGATTTTTTTTCAAAGATAGTCAACTTGTATGAAGCTATTGAAGCTCACCCCAAAGGATTGGATAATTAAAGCTTTTTATAAGCATTCCACTAAAAAATGCTGTGACAAGAAGGTAAAAAACATTTGTCTTCCATGGTTAAAAATTTGATGGATTTAATAAGGAAGGAGATAATAAACTGTGCTGCATAAACTAAAGAATGCTAGACCCAGGAATATACGTTTGCTCCTGCGATTTCTTACAAGGTCAACAGAAGATTTAGAAAGATGCTATATAAAAGATCTCTCAGATAATTCCCCACAAGATCAGGGCTTTTCAACATTTCACCGACTGTACCACTTTTAGGCTATGGCAATATTCAAGTACCACTTAGCAAGGTATCAAAAACTTGATGACCAAAAAAACAAAACAAAATACCTGTTCAAAGTTGCAATTGCACTGAAATGACTTATGACCATTTTTCACACTTATGACCATTGCAGCATGCCCAGGGTCATGTGATTTATATTTGGATGCTTGGCAACTGATTCACATTTATGATGATTACAGTGTTCCAGGGTCATATGATCTCTTTTTGCAACCTTTTGACAAGCAAAGTCAATGGCAGGGCTGCTAGTGGCCAAGTGCTAAGGCGGGACTTCCTTCCTTTCCTCCCTCCCTTCCCTGCCTCCCTCTTTCTCATGCCCACCTCCTTCTGAAGGAAGAATTTGACCCCCCCCATATTTTCCCTCTTCCATATATTCATCAAACAAGGAAAAGCCTCCAGAGACAGAAAAGTGAAGCTGCTGAGGGAACTAGCTTAAAAAGGCACATTCCCAAGAATGTATGATTAAATGGGCACAAAATTTTGGTGAACCAGTTTTATTAGATACTTGGGAAACTATTTGGGTGAGAAATGTTAAATTTACACAAGCCCAGAATTTAAGGGAGAATTTTTATAAAATGTTTTACAATGGCACCTTGATCCACAAAAAATGTCTCGTATGTATCCTGACTTACAGCCTAAATGTTGGAGATGTGGATGTTTGGATGCTACTTATTATCATATTTGGTGGTCGTGTAAAAATATAAAAGCCTTTTGGATTAAGATATGGTGGAATATTCAAAGAATTTTTAGAAGGAGGGTAAAATTTACCCCACAATTTTTTTGTTAGGTATCGTTATTGATTGTGATACTAAGGAGATTACATTGATGTTAAATTTAATTACAGCCGCAAGGTTGTTAGTAGGGCAATGTTGGAAGAAGGAATCTTTGCCTACTTTGCAAGAGTGGTTTCTTAAAGTTTCTTATTTGGCGGAAATGGCAAAGATTTCAGCTTTTTTGAAGGATCAATCGCAAGAGAAGTATGTTGTGGTATGGAAAAAATGGATAGATTTTATACAATATAAGTTAGATATAAAAATATTATTTAGTTTTTTAATAATTTATATTTAAAATGGAATATTTTGGTTTTTTTTTCCGTTTCTTTTTTTTGTTCTTCTTTTTTCCTTTTTTTTCATTCTTTTCTTTTTTAAACATTTATCTTTTGTATGTTTCTTTTATATATATACTATTGTTAATTATTTTATAATTTTTCTAATTAATGTATTTAGATTTTTAACTAATGTTAGATTTATTTATGGTTTATATCTTTTTTTAAGATTTTTTGATGAAATTTTAATTAAGCCTATATCCAGCTCTGGGAAGGTCGGGGGAGGGAATGGGAGGGTTGGAGAGGTTGGGGGGAAGATTGTTTTGTTTTTGTAAAATGTCAAAAATTTAATAAAAATTATCTTTGAAAAAAAAAAAGGCACATTCCCCTTTAAGAATTAGCTACTGGCTAGAAAGGAAAGTTAATGAGTGCAGCCAGCACTTAAGGAAGAAAAAAATGTAGTAAGTATTGGCTGCAGGCTAAGGCAGCCTCCCCAAATGGCTCCATTCATAAGTAAAGGAATGCTACAGGCAAAATCCATTCAGGAGAAAAATACTTCAAAATCTCTTGCGCAAAACTTACAGCTAACAATAGCAGAACAATAGAAGCTAACAGGAGACATCAGCCATCAGCCAAATAGAAATTGCCAAACACTCCTTAAGTACACAAAGCCCAGATTTCACAAATCCCAGAACTTCAAAGTCACAAAAGCACATAAGAATCCTTCTACTCTCCATCTCCCTCCCTCCCTCCATGTCTTACCTCCAGCTGATGCTACCTTTCTTCATTCCTCCTGGAGGGCAACCCCTCCCCTGCTGCATTTCTTGCCTGTTTGTTGCTGCCAGCACAGGTGGCTGCCATAGAAGTTGTAGATTGGCTCATGGCCAACCTGCTTGGACTCCTTGATCTCCTCTCCTCTCCCCCCCACCCTTCTCCTTCGGTGCAGCTAGAGCTGACTCCACATCCTCCCGAGGCTGCTGCTTTTTTTCCCTCTCTCCCGCCCAAACTGCCTCCTTTTATAGCTTCTCCTGTCTCTTCCCCCCTCCTCCTCCTTTCTCATGGGGGAGGGTGAGCCAGAAGTGAGCCTGGGGTGAAGCTCAGCCTCAGCCATTCTGCAGCTCCAGAGGTCTCTCTCACAGTAAGTCCTTGCCTGCGCTGACTCTTTCCCTCCCCCACTACACTTGGCTAGCAGGGCTGCATACCACCTGCCACTCATTAATGTACCACAAGTGGTATGTGTACCACTGGTTGAAAAGCCCTGCACTAGATGATGTACTTTCCTGAATTTGTAACTCTGTGGGACAAAAGATAGCAATTAAGAAATATATCTTATCCTATGTGCTGCAATGCAAACATTTCAATGCTAACAGATGATGGTATTTGGTATTAAATTTGCATCATTTTTATAATGGTACAGATATCTTGCAATATTTATAAAAGTATTCATATATTTCTTTAGACTGTTTTAAATTTATTCATATAAATATCGAATAAAAGTTCATATACATATTTGTCATACACACACACACACACACACACACACACACACTTTTGTTTAGTTCTCCCTAATGCAGACATTTGGTTGTGGTTGTGGTGGGGAGTTATTGATCAAGAAACTGCATCCAAAACTTTAAATAAGTGCAATTATCCAAGTATAATTTTTTTCATTCATGGGGAGGTTGGGAGGAAGGATATGATTTAAATAAATATATTTATTTATATTTTATATTTCTTAACCACTCATCTCCCAGAGAGAGAGAGGGGGGTTCTGGACAGTGTACAATATCAATAAAATTAAACATTAAAATCAGAATAATTTAAAAGTTTAAAAGGGAAGGGAAATCTCATGGGACCAGTTAGCCCCATGCTTGCGTAGGACTCTGTGTTCTCCTCGTAAGACTACATAGCCATGTTTTGACCAAATTTTTGATTGGGGGATTTGCTTACCTCAATTCACCTGAAAATGCAAAATACATAATTTCTTCCGCATTGCTAGGCCAGATCAGGTGCAAATGGTAATCAAGATAATTTAATGAATTGGGTAACGGAGAAAAAATATATTTGGCAAATATGAAGGAACTTGCTTTCTTTCTAGGTAGTACTTCTCTGTAACACATCTGAGACAAGAAATTTTTTTGCTGAATAACTTTCTAAGCACTGCCAAGTTTTCCTACTAACTGTCAAGATCTCTGATTTTCTGTTTTGTAAGCAGGAGTTCTTTTAATGTAGAATAAAGAGAAAGAAAAAAGGGCTTAGAGGCAATAAAAAAATAGTTTCTTGAACTCACCACTGGTTGGTTGTAGTGCTCCAAAGACATGGTGACAACGTTGAGGCAAATTATAAAGGTGATAAAGATGTCCAAGTAGTGGCTGGTGCAGACTGAATGTATGAGGAGGCGGACGGGGCAGTAGGTGGCATAGTACGGCAAGCGCTGTGCTTCTTCAATGGAGGTGAGAGAGCAAATCAGAAAAAAGGTAGAAAAGAGGGAGTTCAGATTAGGACGTGTGTGTGTGTGTGTGTGTGTGTGTGTGTGTGTGTGTGTGTGAGAGAGAGAGAGAGAGAAAGAGAGAGAGAGGGGGGGGCACATACAGAGGGAATTGAAAGAAAAGGGGAAGAAGAAAGGAAAAGAAATGAAAGAAAAAAGGAACAATAATTAAGGAAAGGAAAATAGGAAGCAATATTACAGAAATATAATAAAAGGAAGGGAAGGGAAGAAAACAAAAAGAAAGGTAAATAGCAGAAAGGAAGAAAAAGAGGAGAACTATGAAATGTTTAGACTCAAGAGTAAATCTAAGGGAAGGGGAAAATAAAGGGAGCAACATTGTTACAGGAACGAGGTGCATTCAAACAAATCTTTAAGATGAACAGGAAGGGAAAAGTTAGTGAGGTAAGGATGAGTTAATTAAGGTCACACTTCCCTTTTAAAGCAAGGAGCTTTATTTACTTAAAACTGCTGAGTTAGGTCATTTTCCTACTAGTGCTTTAGAATGTCTTCATAGCACAGTATAGTGTAGTATCACCCAGCTATTGTTGAAGAGAATCCATCCTCCTTGCTGTTATCTTCACACAACAAAGATTGGATGAACTAAGATACCGCAATAAATTCCTAGTGTGGAAATGCAGTAAAACAAAGTCTATTAAAGTTGTAAAAAGGTCTGCAGCTTTCAGAGCCCAACAGAAAATAAATAGTTCCTTCCTTGAGATAAAGAAAGGAAAAGCTCAGTAACACGTTTGGCAGCACCTCAGCAAATTCCCATCATATGGTTCTAATATATACATCAGGTTTATAGTGAAATAAAATTTGTCTCAGAAAACCTTGGCCTACAAACAAACAAACAAAAAAAAAACACTTAGGTTGTTCCTTACTCCTACGCTTCTTCTCCAGGCGCCTCAAACGCTTTTCTTCCCGCCTCCGGGCCTCTTCGGCTTCTTGGTGTTGCCGACACTTGTGAAAATTCTCTACCACCACCCCTACAAACATGTTGAGCACGAAGAAGCTGACGATGAGTAAGAAAGAAATGAAGTAAAGTAGCATCCAAGGGTTGTTGTTGGTCACTGGCTGGAATGTAAATAAAAAAGTAAAACAAGCAGCTGAGTTTAATAAGATTGACATTACAAAAAGATTTATAAGGTGGTAGCATTGTTATTTGCAAGCAAGTATACTGTAAAATAAAAAAAGTTATCTTTCTGTGGGATTCTTTGAAATCTCCACAGAATTGCAGTTAGCCATTAGATATATTTGATGTAAGCCTCCATCAATGTGGTATTCTGCAGGGCTGACTTGCTACAGTCTGAAATAATAGAAGGAACAAACATTACTTGAATAGGTCTTAAGACCAGTGAGTCTAGAGCATTAAATTACATTAATATGCCAATATCTTTTAAGGAGAAGGAAGATAAACAGGAAAAGGCCTACATCAAACTGCTTCAAGTACAAAGTGAATGATACCAGGATGTTGTGAATCCATGCAGCTTTGCTGGATCAGGCTAAATATATATATATTGCTGGTCATGATGATTGAGAATGAACTCCAAAATCTAACCAGAAGAAAGGCAAACCACTTCTGCAATTGTTGCTAAACAACTATTTAGATATAGCTGAAATATTTATATAAATTTGAATGCCAGATGATGAGACTTTACCTTAAAATGTTCTCTAAATATGATGGGGAAAGCTTGAACTTTCATGTGTGTGATATGGAGATGATTATGTGACCAAATTGCAAGGATGTTTGGCCATTGATGATGCCACTACTAAAAAAGTAGTTTGCCATTTTATAAAGGCATACAGGTAGTCCTCATTTAACATCCAGTTGTTTAGTGAGTATTCAAAATTATGATGGCACTGAATGAGGCCCTACTTATGACGGTTCCTTATACTTGTGACCATTGTAGTGTCCCTGTGGTCATGTGATCACAGTTTGGTGATTTATAATGTTGCAATGTCCCACAGTCACATGATCTCCATAGAACAAGGAATATGAGATGCATAAATCAAGGACAATGTGAAATCGTCAGAGTGGGGATAGTATACCAAACAGGATGTTTTAGGAATGAATGAATAGACCACTTTATGTTATATGATTACACAATATATTATTCAGAGAGAGGGAAAGGAAGACACCCTCAGGTATGTGTTTCTAGGAAGCACATAACAATAAAAACAGAAAAAATGAAAAGAACTGTAAACAGAACAGTAGCAAAGTAATGGAACAATAGAATAAACAATGAAAAAGAAAACAATGAGAATACAGAGATTTGAGAATAAAAGATGGGTGGGTAGGGAAACCGGGAGTGAGGGGAGAATGCAACATAAGGAAAACTAGACTATTACTAATAGGTCCTTGGAATGCAAAGTTGGAGAAACAAAAATCAATCTGGAATTACAGAAAAAATTGGACCGGGCAAATGCAATATTAAGGAGATAAGTAAATTGAATTTTGTGGAGATTATTCTTTGTTTACTGCTAACACATGCTTCAAACAACATAAACTTTATGCATGGGCAGACTTTATGCATGGGCATTACCAGATGGACAATACTGGAGTCAAGTCAACTGAAATCAATAGAAAATGTAAGATGGAGAATCACAATTCAATCAATAGGGCTTTTCCAGATGAAATTGTGAATTTACAGTATAAAATATACAGACTGAAGTTAGAAAGGGAATAGACTGTCAGCAAAAATTGATCAGAAGGACATACACTCAGAGTACAGGATCAATATAAACATCAGATTCAGTATGCTAAATTAAAGTGAATTTAAGAACAAATTATTATCTCTCTGGAAAGAGATAAGAAATATCTTGGAAACAGTAGTGAAAACAATTCCCGAATTTTCCAATTTTCAAAGGGAAAAGGAATATGCTATTGGAATATTGAGTCAGTCTGTTGGAGACCCAGTTCAGTGCAGCACCAGACTAGAAATTGGAAGACTCAGTTTTAGATCAGCCTTAGGCTGTGCTTTTTTTCTAAAAAAAAAAAAAAAAAGGTGCCGGAACTCACACACGTCATACAACCCACCTTGCCTACCCTACAAGGTTCCATCCAAAAAAGGTGCCGGAACTCCGTTCTGGGCGTTCTATGAGAAAAAAAGCCCTGGCCTTAGGCATAAAGCCAGGGGGATGACCTTGGGCCAGTTACATTCTCTCAGCCTTAGAAAGTAGGCAATGGCAAAATACTCTTCAAATCTTGCCAAGAAAACTGCAAGGACTTGTGAAGCAGTAACCTGTAGTCAGTGCTGACTCCAAGGCACAAAATAAATATTGGGAGAGTCAAAAATAAAAAATGGAAGCAACAAAAATGTGGTAACAAACTAAACAACTCAGACTGCATGGCCTACAGATTAGAAAGGCTACATGGCTTACAGATTGGAAAATACTGTACATACCAACCAAGAGAAATGCAAAAGACTGAAAAGATTATTGAAAGAACTAATCTCTCAGAGAAGCATATTTATGTTTAATAATTTACACAGAAGAATACAGGAACGCATAGATACAAGGTTAAATACAGAACTTAAGACAGATAATAGTAAATATAAGATTTGGCTTTGTCTTATTAACTTAGCAAGGTGTTTAATTTTGTAGATAATATGAGAATATGGAATATTAACAATAATGCTGAACAGGATGCTGGAGAAATAAAAAGGGTTTCATTCCAAGCAAAAAGGCAATGACAAATTATTACAAGTTCAGAGATATTTCTGGACATGGAGAAAAAGCAAGGGAAAAAGACAAATGCTTTCAAATAATGGATCTGGAGACAGTTACTGTACTAAGAACACCACAGATGACAATAAGAATCAATCAATCCTGGATCTAATAAAAACTGATTGTTCCCTTGATGCAATTGTCAGCAAATAGAAATGATATACATGGCCAAGTGATGCAAGCAGATAATGGAGAGGAATAAATAATCCTGACTGGGCAGAATGCAGAAGTGGGAGAATGGGAAAGTGGAAGGAAAAGACAAAGGATTAAGTAGATGATGGGGATAAAGGAAATTACAGGGCTATACCTGAAAGAACTACAAGTTGTTACTAGAGACCAATTGCAGTACAATTAACTATATTTACTTTTCTCATTCTATAATCCCCTCCTAGATTAAGTAGATTTTAAAAATCAAGTCAGATTGGTTTTGCAGATCTGTGAACTTTTTGAAGAATATTCCTAAACTCTTTTAAAAGGAATTTGCTTACAATATAAAAGAATATATTTTTATATTGTTGACTTGGTGTAGCAAAGCTGGGTAGCTCGGAAAAGTAATTATTCATTTGTTGGTTAAATTTACATAGCTTTGTATCTCACTTGTCTTATTTCAGTGGGCTTACAATGTTAAAAATACAAAACAAAAACAAAACACAACCAAAAAGTATAATCACAAAAGACATTAAAACACAACAAACAATAAAAAAAACTATTAAAACTGTAAAAAAAAATCTGCTGGAGAGCACAATTTATTTTCCTAACCATACAACCACTTAGTGGGTTCTCCACCAATATCACCACATCCCCAGACCACATCATCAGGCTCTTCCAGAAGGCCAAAGTCAGGGTCAATCTGAGGGGGAAGATGTTCCAAAGGGCAGGCAGCATCTGACAGGATCCAGGAGGTGGCAGAAAAGGCTGGATCCTGGATCCTGACAGATGACATTCCTTTGTGGATAGGACCCATTATATGCTCTTTCTGCCAGACCTGATGGGATAGATAGATGTGACCCAGGAAAGGCAGTCCCTAGTTACTGTCATTAAATTAATCACTGGCAGGTCATTACATAATAACCTTATGTGATTGTGACCTCCAAGTTCTTGCTGACTTCCCCATTGACTTTGTTTGTAGGAAACTTGTAAGGAAAGACATAATTCGCAATTATATAGCCATGGGATGCTGTGAGGGTCAGAAATCTGGGCCAATTGCCCAGTGCCTGCATCATTCTCACATGATGATAGTGATGCTGTGATGGCCATAAATTGAAAGACCAGTCATAAGTATCACTCATTCAGCACCTTTGCAAGTTGAAACAGTTGATGAACGTAGCCATTAAATGACCACCTGTATACTTCTGTTGATGTATGTTGCCTGGGATAATGTTCTTCATTTATCTCTTACAAATGCATCTATGCTTCAATCATATCATTTAAAATTGCTTATAATGTAACATATAAATAAATACAGGATAGTATAAGAAAGAAATAACTGTCAGAATGATTGGACATATCAATAGCAATGTTATCAACACTGATAGTATAATTATAATAATATAATCATTAAACTATTTGTTTTGGGAACTGCATCACACTATTAGCTCATGTTCAGCTTGTGATTCACCAAGATCAGTTCCAGTGGCCTTTGATTTTTCCTACCCAAATTAAGGACCTAGTATTTATCCCTGTTCTTTTTGCTGGTTTCTACCCATTGTTCCAGCCTGTTAACATCCTTTTAAATCATACTCTCTTCTCTCCTTTGTTATCTCCTACATCCATGTGTCATCTGCACATCTGACTACTGTATTTTTTAAACTCTCAGCCAGATCATATAGAAGAAAATAGGTCCTAATGTTTCCTTCCAGACTGAACAGGAGCTGGTAATGTAACAATTGGTTACAATTGTTCAACCAGCTCTGCACCCATCTAGTAGTAACATGTCTAAACATCTTCCCTCTAACAAAGTAAGAAATAAACAACTGTACATTTATTGCATATCATTAAACAAATTAATATGAAACAAATTAATGCTTGGACTGGAAAGTCTTCAAATGTACCAAATAACTTTTCTTTTGTCAAACATGCAGTTTTTCCAAATTCATTATGTGTCCTCATAGTTGTATATTCCCCTATGTAAATAAGCATTTGTTTATAAATGTAAATAAACATCCTTATAACTATTTGGAGACTAGACTAGTAAATAGTTCTTTCAAAAGGCCTGTCAGAAATAAAACCATCTTGCTTTGTGAAGAGAACAAAAAGAAATCACAATGTGGGTGTAATATATCACCAAGACTGTCTGGTCCTATGCAGCCACCATCTGTTTTAGAAAGTGGTCTCCTATTAATAAACTGAACAGGAAAAGCATTAGGTTGTAGCTGTTCAGCTATGAGGAGTTTCTTAGGATGGAAACCACTGCCAAAGAGTAGAAATCAGAAGATTATATCATATGCCCCCAAACATATGCCACAGCTGAGAGACCACTAGGAGGTAAAGAAGACAATGGTCACCTCACATTTTTATCAAACAAATAAAGAAAAAACATTAGACATTTTATCCTTGTTAGTTACCTGAAAGATAATCTGCTTCTGATATAATAGTGGTATCCACAACAAATTAGAAAAGTTATGCCAAAATGAGAGAATGGAAAGGACCAACATAATAATATACATACAGTTCATATATGTGTGTGTTCTCTCCATCTCTCTGAATCATTGTGGCATGGCATGGCATAGCATGGCATGGCATGGCATTCAGTCTGCCTAATAGTTCAATTCAAAACAATATGAAAGATGAAAGTATGAGGTAACTTCTCTACCTGTTGATCCACAGCCACAGCATCTAGTCCATTGTACATAATATTAACCCAGCCATCTTTGGAAGCCAGAACAAAGAGCGACATCAAAGCCTGAAATAGATGAGAATGTCACATAGTTTTATGCCATTTATTTGCATTTTTAAAAGATAAAAATTGCAGTACTCTGTACAGTTTCTTCACCAACTACATCACACAGTACATCTATTAAGAAAACATAATGGTGGTAATGAATTCTAAGTTAATTTATTGTGCATACAAACAGGGAAATAAAGGAATCAGAAATATAAAGCACCCCACATAAAACCCTCAGAATTTATTCTTTTAAAAGTGCTTATATCCTAAAACTCAGCAGTTTTCCTGAACAACCATGTTCATTCCTCAGCAATTCTTTTCCTGAAAAAGGTGTTTCTTAATATCTTGTCTAAACCACCAACTCTCAATGTCCTTCCCTGCTATTCACATATAGCTGTTTTCCATACACCTGATTGATTTTTTAATATTTGAAAACTGCCAGCAGGTTTCTGAAGGTAGTGTAATATCAATAATTAAACAGAGTATATAAGATAAATTAAATAGCAAATCAGAGAAATGTGGACAGGCTATGTATATGTAATAGACTATATAAGGAGTGGATTCCTAGGAGGGAGGGGGTGCATTCCAGAGGAGTAAAAAACAATTTAGTCCAGAAACTATGTGTGAGAGAAAGAAGGTGAAGATAGCCCATATCTAAAAATTCACCAAATAAATGTATATTGTAGATGCAGATAGTAGAGTGTTCAGTTTGCCAAGACTTTGTCCATAGGTATGAAGAAAAAAAGTACTCAACTTGGAAGAATCACCATATGTCATTCTTGATTTTGGGCTTGGCAGTAAGTTTTAGCTTTTCTGCTTATACAATTCAGACCCTATGCTGAAAAGGAAGTGCACCTCATGGAGGTCAGAGATGATGCCTATTCCTATAAGCTCTACTATATGCAAGGAAAATTACACATTTACTCTTAAAGACATCCTTGATGCTTTCATATTATCACCTAGAAACAGGCAAAAGAACAAAAAGAGAACCAGGGTTTGTTTTTCACCTGCAATTAGGCTGTCACCTTCAAGCTCCTATTTGATATCACAGAATGGGTGACATCTTTCTTCACAGATGGGTTTAAGTAGCTGTCAAGTTCTCCATCAACAAAAGATCAGTTACTAATATCACTTGGAAATTGGGCCAGGGAAAACAAAAGGGGAAAAGCACAACCACACTAAAATAATTTTTGGGTTGATTTGGACATAGAACAAATTATGGATGATAGAGCATTATGATTCTGCTACATGAAAAATTTGACAAATCTTTGAAATGTATTTAAAATATGCTGTACAAGTGGTCCTTGATTTATGACCATAATGGAGATGAGAATTACGATTGTAAGTTGATACGTTCCTGTCATGTCACTATGTGATCAGTCCTGATTTTGCAGCCATTTTTACACTGGTTGTAAAGCTAATCACATAGTTGTTAAGTGAATCCAGCTCCCCCCAATGGAGGTTTTTTGCCAGAAACAAAATAAATTGGCAAAAAAAATCACAAAGTCACGACTGCAACCAGTCATGAATGCAAGCTGGTTGACAAAAGCCCAAACTGTGATCATATGACCACGGAAGTGGTGCGGTGGTTGTAAATGTGAGTACAGGTCATAAAACACTTTTTCTGAGGCTGTTGCAAGTTTGAACCATTATTAAATGAACAGTCATAGATCAAGAACTACTTTTTTGATCCTGATTTTAGACAAAGTTAAGCACTATTTACATGGCCACTACGTACAATATGATTCTAATATGTTTGTTTATTTAACTGGATTGCTATATTCTTTTAATAACAGAAATATTGATTATTGTATTGTATTTTGACCAAGGAAAAATGTGGCTGAAGAATTGTATGAAAATTAACATAATAAACACCTACATAAATATTTTCTACTGAAACTAAAGAGAAATATTTAACAATGCTTCTTTGTCATTCTAATTAACTAGCAAGCACACTCATTTTGTACCAATGTAACAAGAAATAATTTGAAGATAACTTAAACAAAGTAATACTATGATTAGGAATTTGTGAAGGCATCTAAATATTTGAAGGTATACAGTCCTGCTACATATAACTCTTAAGTAGGTCTAATATACTTTGGAGGATTCTATATTTACCTGGCCCAGATTATCAAAGTTGTATTTTTGATGCACCCATTTGTAATTGGCAGCCATGCAGTCAGACCTATTTGTGATATTTCGTATATCAACACCCAGGCAATGGTAGAATTTTCCTTTGAAAAGCTATAAGAAAAAGGGATTTTGTCAGACATTGCAAAAATAAAAGGACAAGAGATTGGTGCTATATGAGCATCATGGTGACTTAATGGTGAAAACACTCGCCTCCCACTTGGAAGTTTGAGAGTTCAGTCCTAGGTAGTGACAGATGTTTCTCTCCTAGAGTGCAAAGAAAAAAATATCTGTTGTGAACTCTGCATTGTGTCAGGAAGAGCATCCGGCCAGTGGTGGGATTCAAATATGTGAACAACTGGTTCTCTGTGTGGATGCTGATTCCGGAATTCCATTCTGGGTCTGGGCAACAAAAAATTAGCTACCAGTTTTGACAAAGTGGTGTGAACCGGCTGAATCCCACCACTGCATTCAGCCAGTAAATGCTCGGCTCCATCCTATTGCCCCAACTCTACCCTAAATTAAGGGATTATGGAGTTATAAAAAAAGAAAGGGAGATTGGAGCTATATGCTTCAACTGATTTCAGGTCATTTTTCTTACATTTGTTTGGAGTATTACAGCTGGGAATGGAAAAGGAAGGTCGCTAAAAGGGAAATTACTTCTATTCTTCACTCCTAGTTCCAAAAAAATAGCCTCAAATCCATCACAGAACAGTGGTTTGGCAATGACTTTGGGGGATTAAAAAATTAAGAATGTGAGCAGTTTGCCTCACAGAATCCTCTCATTCCCATCTTTACCTAGCAAAAATCAATAACAATATTTTATATTTAAATAAATAAAAGACCAAAACAAATTGGCTGTAGACCTTTCATTGCCAGGAGACCAAACTGAAGCATATGCCCACCCTATGAAGATCCATAAAAACTACTGTATGTTCTAAGAAGAGAAACTATTTGCTGCACTTCTTATACATTTTGAAGTTGTTCCTCCTTGAAATAGGCAATACAGACTCTAGTATATTTTTTTATATAAAGATAGAAACATTACCCACTCTTACAGATGAAGACCAAAATAAAGAGAATACCATTTCGTTCCATCTCTAAACAGCTGTAGGAGGATTTTGTGCTTGAAACATGGGGGAGAGTCAGAGAAATAAGAAAAGTGTTTTTTTAAAAATAATAATAATTAAATTGTTGTCTTAAGGCATCTCATCTCTGACCAGATATCATTTCAGCATTGAGTCCTATGATCCAACTACATCTTATTATGGCTCAAAATCCAGACCCTAATATTTTGTTAGTTTGAAATCTGTTCCTTCTTTATAGCACATGGGAAATAGATCAAGAAGTAAAGCCATTAAAATGATGAACCCAGTTCATTTCCAAGAGTTTTTTCTATGTTCCCTTTTTAGGTCACATTATTCTCCAGCCACTATTAGAGATCCAAGGCACAAAGAAAATAGTCTATAATAATGGTACTGCAAAGATATAGAAAAGCTTGCAGCGCCTCTTTTTGACATATATGTACCTACTTTGAACTATCATCATGTGGGAAATTGGACATGTTGATTATTAATAAATGTTAGATTGGGGAAACAAGGACAACCCAGAAATGGAACTCTATTCATACATTCTATCCGTAAGAATGTATGAGGAGTGGTGGCAGAACCTGGGGATGGAGTTAAAAGAGAGATCAGCCTAGAATCCCTATGTAACCACAAGTGAACTAAGTCCAACCCTCTTTTAATTCCATGGATCCTTATCTAACTCCAAGAAGGCGCTTGCGAAGTTTAATGAAAAGAAGGACAAGGGGGGACAGACAGCAGTATTCCAATATATCAGGGGCTGCCATAAAGAAGAGGGAATCAAGCTATTTTCCAAAGCACCTGAAGGCAGGACAAGAAGCAACGGGTGGAAATTAATCAAGGAGAGAAGCAACCTAGAACTAAGGAGAAACTTCCTGACAGTGAGAACAATTAATCAGTGGAACAGCTTGCCTCCAGAAGCAGTAAATGCTCCAACACTGGAAGTTTTTAAGAAGAGACTGGACAGCCATTTGTCTGAAATGGTGTAGGGTTTCCTGCCTGAGCAGGGGGTTGGACTAGATGACCTCCAAGGTCCCTTCCAACTTTACTACTACTACTATTAAGTCCAGAAATATTGAAGATTCCTATGCATATGCAGGATTAACGATGTCAGTTTAATTGGACCCTTGCCTTGATTTTTTTATGCCCGACAAAGAAAGACCAAAGCTAAGAACTGGGAAAGTTGGAATCTCAACATATCTAATGGGCACCTTTAGAAAGCCATTTCAAAGCATACTTTTCAGAAGTGTTTAAAATTGTACCATACCTGCACTCCAAGAATTCCAAAGATTATAAAGAAAGCACAGCAGATGAGGACAATATTTCCAATAGGCTTGAGTGATGAAATGAGAGTTTCAACCACCAGCTTCAAACCTGGAGCACGGCTGATGACCCTGAGAAAAGAGCACTGTGAGAGCTATAATTTAGAACCCAATATTTCACTTTCTATGTGAAGTATCATACCAAGAGAGTTTGGTTTGCAGTTCTGCCAGATGGTTGGTTTGGGAAATCTCACCTTAATAAATCAGACCAAAAGTTAAACTTTAAACAACTCATCAGATAGTAAACCTCTCTCCAAAAAAAAGTAACTAAGGAACTAAGGGATTTAACATCTATGAAGGAAATTACTTTTAAAAGCAATTCTTCTCCAAGGGCTAACCTGAATAGTCAGATTGTCTATTGTCCATATTGACCAGCAACTAATTTTGAGGAATAGGAATGGATGACATTGCCTTGTATGTCCACTGGAAATATGACCTCTGGGTAAATTTTTCTGGTCCATTTTCCAAGTACAGGTAGTCCTTGAGTTATGACCATTCATGCAACAAAGTTCAAAGTTGCTACAACCATAAATACCGGGGAATTATAATAGGATCTTGGAGTTTCAGCTGTTGCAGCATCCCTCAGTCATATGATCATGATTTCTGATGTTCCTTGACAGCTTCCCATAAGCAAAATCAATGGAGAAGTCTGCAAGAAGTCAGATGTTGTGATGTCTTTGTTTAACCATAGCAACTTGGGCTGCAAGAATGACTGTCCCTAAACAATACAATTATGTGACCATGTCACTCAACGGCTGAGTTGTTGGTCACAACTGCTGTTGTAACTTGCGGACTACTTATAGTGTTTTTCTGCTTCTGGTGGCTCAAAGCATTGCTATACAATTTCTCTGCCGCATTGCTTTTAGTAAGCGAACACTTTGGCCACTTTGTAAAGGTAGGAATACCAGCTTACCATGCATTTCTTGCTTTTCCTGAATAATAGTTGCTGCTGGTTATGTTACAAAAAGTCTTCTTGCTCATTTAATGGGTATAATGCTTTGCCTTAGATGCTGGCTTGAAACTTGGCAGGAATACCATTTTTAATTGCTATTCTTTTCTCCTGAGCTATCTATTTTTGTGCTGGGCTGTATTTATTTATTAATTAGTCCACTGATGCACCATTTCATCTGTTTGCCACTTATATGAGTCACTCCCTGGTTGGAAGGTTATAAATAGATCAATAATAAAACAATAAACTTTGATTACTTTGAAGGCAAAAGATAATGTCCATAGTTGTGTGTTAAATGGTTGGTTCTCTAAGCTTGGCTATTTTCTTGCAGACATTTTGTTATCAGGCTATGTAACATCATTAGTGCAACCAAGGTTATCAGGGAAAGCATATAAACAACCCAAAAAAATTCACTCTCTCATCTACTGATAATCTTACCTAGTCTGGTAATGAAATATCTGTAGGAAAACGACCAGGTCAGAGACCGCTAGGAACACAATGAGAATAATGATTGGTATTTTAAGTCTCCTAACAGAGATGAACAAAATTCAAACCTTCATCTCCATGGTCAAAACAAGTAGAATGGCAGCACTGCAATCCAAGCCTGACCCCTCTATATTTGTATGTGTGATACTTGGATCATGATACCACATCTATTAGTTTGCCTGTATTGACCCCTGTTGTGGATGCTGATGTATCAAAGATAGTGGAAAACAGAATATTTTTTAAAATGCTTTTTCTTTACAGCAACTTAAAATAACATACCACAATAGGGTAGAAATATTTCTTTCAAATATAACACCAACACTTCTATAACAGGAACATAACTGAGATTCAGAGGGGGAAAATGAAGAAATAAAAAATAAGTAAACATAGACAAGAGTCCTGGTGAAAAATGCTCTATCAATGCATTTTAAAGCTTTCAGGGAAGACCCCCCCCATATGTGAAAATATTGCTTTGTTTTATATCGAATGGAAGCAAATTGTTTAATATATTGAAAAAAAAATCAGAATAATAGTTGTTCTTAGACACAACATGTGTTTAAGAGATGTGGTCAAAAGCATGGTTGAATGCAAAAACCCTGTTGGCTCTAATGTTAACAAGGATCAAAGCCTTCATCACAACTGTATACTGTCAGACGCAAAGAAATCATGCAGAAAGGTTGAAGTCCACTTTTATAAAGGAAGGATTCAAGACAATTTATTTCTTTACTCTCCCAAAATGCCTATCTTATTGTTTGCAGTAGGTATTTTTAAAATACTTGATTCTTTAAACTGCTGTTCCTTATACCAGCTGTTAAAATTATCATTCTTAATTAAATACATGCAGAAGTAACAGCTACAATTTACACAAGTAATGTTATGTCAGAAAAGATTGATTTAGTTAAGGGCATAAGGTAGAGTGGCCTCTCTTCCCTTTACTATCTGACATTGTAATTGAATTAATGGATTAAAAATTATATGAACTTGGGAAAGTTTAAAGTTAATATTTGGGGGGCAGCAATAAAAATGACAATACTTTCTAAATTATTATCTTTATTTCAAATCTTGCTGGGCAAATGTCCAAACAAAATGGCAAAAGTTAATCAATGAGTTTATTCATAATAATAAAACATCCAGGTGTTTAAAAAAATCATACAAGCAATCTACTTAGAAGAAACTGGAAACCACTTAATTCAACGTTATACTGCATATTATTCTAAATATTTTTAAATAAATAATTTTAAGGAGAATCCACAAGTTTCATGGAATTTCCTTTGGAAATTGTTTTTTTACCAAGCAATCTTCACCTCTCAATCAAACTGAAAAATAATTAATATATTCATAATCACTGAAAAAGGATGTTGTACAAATGACAATATTTATGGAGATAGAGAGAACTAGCATTTTTCTTTTAAGAGATTAAACTTAAATTAAATCCTGATGGGATTAGCCCACCCCGCCCACACTAGCAGAAGTCGTGCTGTGGACCCCACCAGCCAAAGAATTTTTGGCTGGTGGGGTCCAGAAGAAGAGCCTTTTCTGGTGTGACTCCCACCCTCTGGAACATCGTACCCTCCGAGGGGAGATCTTCACCCTCCCCTTTGGCTTTCTTGAAGACATGGCTGTGCCACCTAGCCTGGGGCCCCAATGGGATACGGCATTTTGGAGGTGGCATTTTGAAGTAAATAACACTCCACTTCCTCCCTGTGTGCACTCTGCTCCTTCCCACTCCATCCTGGTTAGGTTTATTTTAATTGAATTTTAAATATGTGATCTTTATTTATTACTCTAATGTTTTATAGTGCATTTTAATTGAATGTCTGGAGATGTGTGGCATACATATTGAATTAATTAATTTAAAAAGTCAGTCACTATTTGAAATTAAGGAAATGAAGTTTATTTTAAATAAACTTTGTTGCCTTAATTTCAAATAGTGACTGATTTTTTTTTTCATAATCCTTATACCTAGTCAACTTTGGCTGCTCTAAACATCTGAAGCAGGGTCAAATCTGCTGAGTATGGAGATAGGGATTACCAGAAAATCTATAGACTAGATTAGGAGTTGGGGAATGGTAACTCAGTTCTCTATGGCTACCAAGAAAACCCCGTCTATGTCCATGAAAATACTAGCAGCTGAGCATGATTCAAGAGAGGCTTTACCGTACTAAATAAATATGAGACAAAACAAAATATATTTTTCAAATTTTCCAAGCAGGGTTATTATATAGGCAAGGTCTAATTTCTTGGATCTTACCTCAGGGGGCGTAAAGTGCGGAGCAGTCGGAGGACTCTTAGCACTCCCAGGATTTTGGCTCCTCCAGCAGAAGCTACTGAAACTACTATATCAATAATGGATACAAACACCAAAAAGCCATCCAAGATATTCCAACTACTGCGTAGATAGGCCTGTTCTCCAAAATACAGACCAAGAGAGACTACCTAGAAAGATTAAGGACTGGATGAGCATGAGAAATGAAACCATGAATCAATAAAGCTAAGTCACATCTCTAGTGAGGTACACTTCTGATTCCTCAAAAATGGATTCATTAGTTCATAGAATCGATTGTAATAATAATGATGGGTAAAGAATGAACATAAACACAATAACCAACTGTGTCAACACGTTGTTCATCTCTTTCAGCAGAATAAATTTTGAGAAAGAGAGGAATTAGAATAGACAGACAGATAGACAGACAGACAGACAGACAGACAGACAGATAGATAGATATCCTTTATTATCATTTTTTTCCTGTGGGCACAATGACACACATTAAAAATGAAATTTAGTTGCTTCCTCTCAAAATGTACACACACATGGAAGCTTTGACTAGTTCCTCCAAGAAATATGTTCTATAAAGTTACTAATCAACTTCAAGATGCTGGTGACCTATATCCTTCTTATTATACACAACTTTTCATCCTCATAAGAATGATTATTCATTTTAGATAAGCAAGAGTAGGTATGAAATGTTTACAGATTCAGTCTGTGGGAAGAAATTGAAAAAAGAAGCTCCAAGGCCATGCTAAACATTTATTCATTTTTTATTTTTGGATTGAAATGGGTTTTATCTTTTTCAAAGAAGAATAAATAATTGGGGGGAAGCATCATTGAAATGTGCAAGCTTTTAACTTCTTTCCATCCAAAGATCTGGCTTCTTTCCCCCTGCCTAGGGCTTCTTTCTAAATTAATTCTAGCTAATTGGGAATCATGTAGTGAACTTGATGATATGATGATGTTAAACAGTTACTAAATCTATTTCTCTATATGTTGAAATGAGTGCAAACAAAGCCAATTCATAATGAAGGTAATCCTTTCTCAACAGAATTTGCATAGCACTGAGATAATCAGTGACACCATTCACTGAAAATAGTTGTGAAAATGGCACTCTTTTTCCACTTAAGAGATTAGTTGAGCCAGCACAGCAAGAATGACTTGGCAGTGGGTAACTTACCTTCAGTGTCATCTCAGCAACAAAGATTGCTGTGAAGATGTAATTGGATACGGTGAGGAAGATTCTCTCCTAGAACAATCAAAGGCAGCCTCAAAATAGATATAATAAGTATCTTTCCATTTAAATTATTGCTACAGGCTTGGGAAATGGTGCTTATATTGAGGTTAAGAATTGCTATGATTGAAAATATAGTGTATTTGGGTATGTTGCCTCAAAAGCATCTCCCAGCCTGGTATTTTAAATAATTTGCTTTGTTCTCTCCCAGAGTAATCATGCAATTAAAATCCTTTTAGGCAGAAATGTATTTGTATCAACCAGCAACTAAAGATTTTTTCTTATTTGGGGATACAAATGTCTTTAAAAATATAAATATAATTACAAATATATTATCTGTATTATTATACCCTCATCACACTACGCAGGCATGCACAAGGAGATGGGTCTTCCTCATCTTTCAGATCTGTCTTTCTGGGAGTCCAGTCACTGTCTTACAGACATTAAGCCTTAATAGAAGCAAGAACAGTCTTCTACCACTTGAATACTATTTATGTCCATATGACCTTTATTACTCTCTAAAACAAATGTCTCTGGATATTTCCAAACAGCATAAATTGAATCCTTAGAATTAAATCCAATCATTGTATACAGTATTATTTAGAGGCTGAAGAAGGCATTTACAAGTTTCTAACTCCTAAAATTACAAGACTACTCATTATTATACAAAGCTACTCACTGTGCTTCTCTGTTCAATCTCAGGTCTCTCCAAGGCAATAGTAACACAGTTCAAGAAAATGAAGGCCAGGACAATATAATCAAATAGCTTATGAGCAATGATAGTTTGGCAGAGAATGCGAAATCTGGAAGACAGTTGGTTCTAAACTATAAAATGTTATCTATGAATATATGTACAATAGACATATAATGGTCATAACAGGCTTCCCCATGCACCCCAGTTCACATTAACAAAATTTGGTGGCAAAGAACCAGTTTTCAAACACATCCTTTTCAGACATTTTTTTCATCCCCAAAAGGTTTAATACACCTATTTTATACTGAATAAGCTCCTCTTGGTGTTATAATCCCATCTTTACAAACATCACTTCATCCTGGAAAAAAAAAAAAATCCAGTTCCTGAGTAGAAAAAGCTGTGCCTAGCTGGTTGACAGAGATACCTGGAGGATTTAAAGGAAATAAGGCAAATAGGGGATGGAAAGGGGTACTACATTAAACTTTAGCTGTTAATAAAATTGAAAAATAGAAAGAGTTATAGGTAGTCCTCCATTTATGACCAGAATTGAGCCCAAAATTTCTGTTGCTAAATGTCACTTAACATTTGTTAACTGAATTTTGGCCCATTTTAAGATATTCTTCCCACAGCTGTGGAAGTGAATCACCGCAGTTGTACAGTTAGTAACATGATTGTTAAGTGACTCTGGCTTCCCCATTGACTTTGCTTGTCGGAAGGTCAAAAAAGTTAATCATGCAACTCTAGGACAATGCAACCATCATAAATATGAATCAGCTGCCAAATATCTGAATTTTGATCATGTGACCATGGGGATGCTGCCATGGTTGTTAGTGTGAAAAACAGTCATAAATCATTTTCAGTGCTGTTATAACTCTGAACAGTCACTAAACGACTGTAGGTAAGTTGAGGAGTACCTGTAGTTATTTTCTCCCATTTGCTTGATAGTACATAATTGATCAATCAACTCACATTTTAAAAGCAAAAATAAATTCCTCAGTTTCTGTAAGACTTTCTTACAAATGCAAAATGATTTACTCAGGGCTTGTTGTAAGAGCCTGTATTTTCTCAAATGCAATTATTGCATGGCAACCACATGATCATGAATGCAATTTTTATAATGTGATACACCAATGCATACTTTTGTAATTTGGGAGGCATAGGAACCTTTTGAAAGGTTAAGGATATTATAGAATTTGTATTTACTCCATAAGCACATGGCACAAGCCACAACACACTGCTGCAATTATCCATGAAATGGGCAGTCATGGTGTTGTTGTTAAGTATGGTAAGTATATGCATATCTGCTTAATTAGGACAGAAATGCAGGTTTAAAAATAGATGTGATGTGATTATGCAGAAGAAACAAATTTCTTGCCTGCAAATACCTATTATGCTGACAGAGATCAAAGGAGAAAGTGGAAGAAAATATAGCAAAGTAATTTCCACAGCTCCAAATAATCTTCACTGATAAGATTTTCAAAGTGGTTAAACCTAAATGCATATGATTTGAGAATATGCTGAAACTATAATCACAGGAGAAAAAGAGCCAGTGTAATATGGGAAAAGTACAAAACAGTTTTAAAAAAATCAGGAGAATGGAATGACAACGTATGTTTTATGCCACTTGGTCTTAAGATAACATGACAGTACAGCTTCCCTGGAAAGTATGAAAAGCAAAATTGAAAAACAAGACCAAAGAAGGAAGAAGGAAAGAAAAGGAGCAATGTTTCATTATTGTTCCTAATTTTTGTATTATGATATCATGAATGCACAATAGAAAGTCTTGTTGCAAGTAATTAAAACAGTTCTACATTAAAACTGAAGTCAGGGTGATAAACCCATACTTGAATCTCCATTCCCCAAAACACAAGTAAATGAAACATACTTGTTTTCTGGTGAGAATAAATAGATGGACCAATCTTCCCGCAACTCACACCAATCTGGCTTGTAGGCCTCTATCATCTTCTTTATTCGGAAACACAGGCTCTGTAGAGGCAGAAGCAGAAAATCAGAAGTTGTTGAGCAGTACTTGTTTCCCTTTCTCCCCTCCCTTGTATCTATCATGCCCAACTAAAAATCACCCATGTACTGATTGATCAGCTTTAGTTGTTCACTAATATACTTTCTGCAGGTTATAAAATTACAACAAAGATCATACCCATAATGCAATGATGTCATGGTTGGAGTATTCAGAAAGTTTGCTTTGGTTTGCGATGGAATTATTTATTATATAGGAATGGAATGGAAGAATGAGGAACAACAGCTAGACTACTGCAGTAAAATAATTTGCTTTGAGACCCTTGAGCCGCTTGGATTCTCTCTTAATCTTCTTTTCCTTCTAAATGGAATGTTACTATGAGATCTTTTTCCAGTGATCACTGTAGAAGTAATCACACTAAAACTTTGCTATGATTTTTCTTTTGCACTGTACATTGTTTTATTGTAATATTGTAACATTCTTCATTTACTATATTTTTTTCATTTTTCCATTTTTTTTAGTAAAGGTAGAAAAAATATTGCAGGACCGTCTCATCCCAACGGGATTGGCCTGCCCCATCTGGCCTCATCAGCCAAGATATTCCAGCTGGCGGGGTCCAGGAGAAGAGGCTTCTCTGCTGTAGCACCTGCCCTTTGGAGCATCTTGTTTCCTGGAGTGAGATTGGTTCCAAGCTTCCTGATTTTCCACAAGAGCTTAAAGATCTGGCTCTGCAAGTTGACCTGCGGCTCCTATGAGGGGGCTTCAGGCTGGAGGTTGTTGACAGATATGCTCATCCTACTCTTTCCCTCCCCAACTTTTAGTTAAAGTTGAGTATTTATTTTTTTATTGTCTTTCAGTTTTGTATTATTTTATCTTTTTAATATTGTAAATCATCCAGTTACCTTGTGATAAGGTTTGTAGACAATACATTTAAATGAACAAATGAATGAATGAATATTTACATAATCTATCTCTTCATCATCTTCTCCATATTCTTTCCGATTGTTCATTTCTGGAAAGATGTCTTTAGCGATTGTGGGCATTTTGCCATTGCAGTCCTGGTGCTTGCTTGGCCCTAGATTCACTCCTATCTTCCATGATGTCTTATGACCGGATGAGACTGCTGGAACCAACTCCAGGTCAGAGGAATCTTTAGTATCCAATGAAAATGTCCGTCGATGATGGTGAATTACTGGCCTTTCTCGTTCTGCCTCTGTTATCCTCTGCTGCTCCCCAGATAAAAGTGATTCGTGTTCAGCTGAAAAAGGCTTGTGTTTGAGGCTATGTCCTCGAGCAAGGTTGTTCCAACTGGAACGTCTGCTTCCCCAGCCTCCGCTATGATACCGAGCCCCATGGTGATGAGAGCTACGGGAGCTAGACTGTAAGAAAGCCAAAAGAAAACCATTGAGTGATCCCACTCAAAACAAGAGGTTGACATAGTTTCAGTCATGCACCAATATACTTTTGTTTATTTATTTATTATACATTTTATACTACTACATTTGCAAGACTTAACTCCCACCTAATGTTCCCTTCTCAAAAAAAAAAAAAAAAAAAAAAACCAGCAAGGAAGCAGATAAGTGAACCAATATATGGAAAAATGAGGTAAACTTTTCAGTTTGTTTTTATCTTATTCAATAACTGAGGGTGTTACAAACATTCAGTCTCCTCCTTTTTGATTCACCACTTTTCTCTGGTTTTTCCCTACCCTTTTTCATATATAACTCAAGGTGATGAACAACCCTCTGAGGTGAGCTGGGTGAGAGAGAGTGAGTTGCTCAAAGTCATCCAGCCTATTTTTCATGTCTAAAGTGAGATTAGAATTTACAGCTTCTTGAGCCAACACTTTAATTACTACACCAAACTGGCACTTTAGCTAAAAACTTAAATAAAAGCATTTAATTAACATTTAATTAATGTATTGAATCGCTTAATTAAAACATTTAAAATATAGTCTTACTTAAATTTTTTTTAATATTAATGGAAATAGTTATAAGACCCCAGGTGGTGTCAGTTCCACTAGGTAGGCCAGACCAGTAAATCAGTTTCATAGAAAGGCTAAAACTACTTTTATTGAAATTAGCTGTAATAACACAATTTTTCAAACCTAACTCTGCTGTATCTCCTCTCCCTGCTTATACTCCCATGATTTAATGAAACATTTGCCTGAGCCTCTGCCAAATATTATATGTCTGTTGTGGACTTAAAACACCTTTCATCTTTCATCACTTTGGTAGGAAATCTTTTGTATCTCCATGAAAGCCATCTTCCTTAGTCTTTCTAGGTGGCAAATACAGTCTAAAAAGATGTCCTCTCCTTTTGTGAATCCTATTCAAGTAAATGATAAATTCTTTAATATGATGACTACTATCCTTCAAGACCACTTTTTGCCAAGATGGAATTGAACTTTATTCTTTCTCTCCAAGTATAGGATTGTGTCCAGTATGGGTGGGAAATCTCTAACTCCCCGAGACTATGTTGGACTCCAAAATTATCATCCTAGTTGATGGTCATAATGAAAGAAAGTATGATACAATCACCTGAAAGGACATCTGATGTCCTTTCAGCACATCAAGCTAGTTTATTTATAAATAAGAAAAGTAAAGACTTATATTAAATGTACTTTTAATTGCATTGGCCTAGTTCTTATTTTCATTACATCATAGCCAGTATTAACTATTATTAAGCAGAGTTTCTTAGAGTTTTAATTCTTAGCTATTTTGTATAATCCCATTCCTTTCAATAAATGGAAAAACAATCCATTATCTCCTTTTCTGCCATGTTAAAATGAAGAGGGGTAGGGAAAATGCACAGAATCAGTCAAAGATACTGACTGCAGGAATATATAAGTGTAAAAGTTTACATAATGATTCTACTGATTGAAGGCCAAATTCTCAGATATTGGGGTTGGAAGATGATCCTAATATATGACTGTTAATGTAATTAGGTTACAGATGGATTTAAATTCATTTACTAAAGACATCACACTGCTTTTTCGGGATTCAAGAGCCATGAGGATATCTGACTGCAGAGTATTGTGGGATGGATTCATCATTCCAGCAGTTGCCCCAGGCTGGTTTAGACAAGGAAGGCTGGGGTCAAGATGTCCATTTGGAGTCATGGGAACTGCACAAAGCTTTGGATCTGAGAAAAACAAAAACAAAACAGACAAAACACAGAGAGAAAGAGAGATAATACCCAGGGAGGATATCTTTTAAAGCAATTTGTGCTTTAAAACATACATATATTCTAATTCTGTAGTTATGCCTCTAGAAAACAAGGAACAATATGGAAATAAATTAATTCCTCTTTCCTCCTGCTCCTATTCTAACAATGTTTTATGCTATGCTTATAGAAGCTTGGAAATATTTGATGAAACTCTGCATCATTTGAGTGAGAAAAAAAACCTTATCCTTTAACATTTGCTTAACATTTACCACTACAGGTTTCTTTCATTGTAACAGAATGAGAACTACTAGACAAAGGTAGTCCAGTGTTAACCGTTCAGAAGTAAATTTGTGCTGAATGCACAGGCATCTGCTGCTAGCCACTATGATACCAGAAAGACAAAATGTATGTCATGAAATCACAAAGCAAACACCACACTTTTGCTCCTGCAATGTGTATACAAGTGTGAAATTTGTGTCATCATTTTATTTGCACATTTTATCCCAAATCCCAAATTTAGTAAAAGTAAGCAGAAAGGTTTAATTGGAATGGTGCCATGTATTTTCCATTCTTCAGATGAGTTGGAGACTATAATTGCCATCATTCCCAGCTAGCATCAAATTATGTAGATGCACTGCAAATTTAGGTAAACAACAATGAGATATACTGGGCTAGGAAAGAAAGTTAAAGACCAGCAGTAATTTGTGGCACTGGATATCATTCTCAGTCCTTCTTTTGATTGAAAAGGGGGGGGATGGATTTTTATAGCCATTGTCATGTATGGTGCAAAATTGGAGCGAAAAAAACATATGACATTACTCAGAAAAATACTGCAAAATGCAATTTCTCATTTGTGTTTGGTCTTCAAATGCTAAAGTTCTGATTTCTTTTTTTAGCCTTTGTTTCCAAGTGATTGCTTGAATTAATCTTTCTTAGATCTTTTGAACTCCTTCCAATATAGATTCTTCCTGCAAGTTGACTTAGCTTTATAATCTATATAATTGGGCTTCCTCCCGCTCTTTTAAAATATTCTGAATTGTTAATTTTGGCAAAAAAACCCTTTTGTAGCCAAGGATCATGCTTGATGCTTTTAAGGTGGCTCTGGCTTACAAAATGTATAGAATTGTATCACTTGTATGGGCCTGGGCTTTTGTTTTTGTGATATACTTGTTTTAGAGCTTATACAACAGTTTTCATCTGTTTCCCATCTCAAAATGTCAGAAAATTGTACCATTGCTTTTCAGCAATCATGACTCCAAGGGCAGCATCTGACAAGCTTCATGTAATACTAGGTTCATTGCTCTCCCCAAATGTACTGATCAATTTCTTTCATCTTGGCTTTTACTGATTTAATTCATCCAAAATTTGGTGTTACTAATCAGTAGCCATTAGATATTTTGTTATGTTTTTGAAAGTTACTATTTTTTGTGCTGTTTGAACATTAGGGGTCTGATTGAAACTCAGCTGAGAAATTGATCTGAACACCTTTATCATCATTATTGTTGTTCCAATGAAATTATTTTAATTTTATCAGGATTGCCTAAGCCTCTGTTGCATTCTGAATTAAGTTATTCATGCATCTTGGATAGAAGAAATGGCATCTAAATTTCTGTAGTGTAATACAGCAAATATTCCTTAGAAAAATTTGAGAACTGGAAATGTAAATGGACTGAAGGATTCATCTCTGTGGATCCAGAGCATATCTTGGAGAGGAAAGAAGGAAGGAAGGAAGGAAGGAAGGAAGGAAGGAAGGAAGGAAGGAAGGAAGGAAGGAAGGAAGGATACTTTCCAAGATGTTATATGCTTTTATATAGACATATACATTGTGTATTCCTTGCTAATAATACCTGAATTATCCTGGAACTTGTCAAATTCTTCAATATTTGATGAACTCTGGTCCTCATCTGAATATGAGTAGTTAGCATCACCCTGCATTGGGAAAATAAATGCAAAGACCTGGGAATTGTGAGCATCATGAGAGCAACAGAGTGATTTCCCTTTGGTTTCAAAGAATTGCAAAAGTGGAAAAATACTTTATGGAAATAATTGGACAATATACCACTACATGAAAGAAATAATAGCATTCAGATTATTAGATATGAAGGAATGTCTGAATGGTTCAATTTTCTCTTTTTCTTTCTTTATAAAATTTATATTGCTGCCTACTCGCTCACAATTTAAGGCGGCTTAGAGGAAATAAATGCACAACATAAAAGAAATAAAAATAATAAGAATGAAAAATAATAACATAATAATCCCCCACCCTCATCCCAGTGACAACATACACTCATACCAGCCATTTAATGGGCTTCATCCCACTCTGGGTTCTCCAGGCCTTCCGACAGAACCATGTCTTCAAGGCCTTCCGAAAGAGTGTCAGAGTGGGGGCCAGTCTAATTTCCAGAGGGATGATGTTCCAGAGGGAGGGAGCCACCACAGAGAAGGCCCTTCTTCTGGGTCCCCCAGATATATCTCCTTAGTGGACAAGACCCACAACATTCCTTGCCTCCCCACTCTAGTGGGTTGGATGTGACCGGCAAGAGACGGTCCCTTAGATAACCTGATCCTAAGCCATAAGAGCTTTAAAGGTGACAACCAGCATCTTGAATTGCACCTGGAAGCATATAGGCAACCAATGCAGCTCCCTCAGGAGAGGTGACACATGTGCACACCGTGGTCTGCACAAACTATGTGGGCTGCTACATTTTGCACCAACTGGGCTTGTGGATGCTTTTCAAGGGTAGCCCCATGTACAGAGCATTGCAATAGTCAAGACAGAAGGTGATTAGGGCTTGATTGACCATGAGTAAGGATTGCTGGTCCAGGAAAGGGAGTAACTGGCGCACAACCCACAATTGCACAAAGGCCCTCCTGGCCACGACTGCCGCCTAATCTTCGAGCAGGAGTTACGAGTCCAGGAGAACCCCCAGATTATGCACTGGGTCTGTTTGGGGCAGTGCCACCCTATCCAAGACCAAAGGTGGCAGTTCTCCATGGACCAAAGAACCCCAAACTCAGAGCCACTCAGTCTTGCCAGGGTTCAGTTTCAACCTGTGGCTCCCCATCCAGCCCCTAATAATCCCACATGCTCCTTCAGGTTGGACCTATTACAGATCTCTTCTCTGTGCCAATGTCATCAGGCTGGACCTACGAAATGTGCCTTTTCCCTGGTAGCATCTACCTCTATGAAAGTCTCCTTCTCTTCCAGATGCAGTTTGCTATGCCCCTTCTAGTCTTTTGTAAGGCATTAGGAACCTTACTCCGCCCCCCGGATATTTGGATGTGCCCATCCTGGGACATAGTATTCATAGGGTTTGACAGCTTCTTTTTGTTTTGTTTTGGTTTTTGTTGACTAGTCACTTTGAGGAATGAGCAGCCATATAAACTGATCAAATAAATCAGTAATATTTTTGTATGCATTTCTGATTTGAGCACTGCATCACAATGCAGATTTTAAAAAGCAAGAAAATAGATTGAGTTCATTAAATTCTATTCCAAATACATGTCTTTTCTATCCTGAGATGTCATATACAGTACTCATGAATTGGTAGTCATAATTTTCCAAGATTACTCCCAACAAAACATGATTTAAAACCATCTCCCTCCATTCTGTATTTATCAGATGTGTCAGAATTCAGCTCCCAATAGCTCCACCTCATGAAAACTGTATGTATTGGTGGGAGTGATAACAGCTATTGTTTAAGGCAATGCCTGGTTGGCAAGGATTGACTTATAAGTCATTGGAAATCTGACTTTGAATCTCTCACTTATTTGCAACTGACCTTCCTGAAAGCAATCACTGTAGCAACTCACCTCTGCCTGGAATCCCTCCACTAGGATGGCCACCAGTAGATTGAAGAGAACATAATTTCCAAACGTCATGAGAGCCACAAAATAAAGTGATGCCCATGGAGAGGTTGAGGCCATGCCATTATAGAGTACAACATTCCAATCCTCCTGTGTCAAAATCTGAATGGTAAAGTTTAAGGTTATATAGTTAGGTCCAGAATAAATGCATTTGGCAGAAATAGGGGATATATATATTTCCAGTAAATAAATAGATAAAAAACAAGATGTAGTATCAGAATGATTTGTCAACAGGAAAGGTCTCTAATATTTCTATTTTAATATTGAGCATAACATGGGAAAAGGTGAAATCTTGACATGATTTTTATAAACTTATGCCTCTAGCTATATGGTACTATGCCATTGTCAGTGGCGATCTCTGGAAAGGACTATATCCACAGATTACTGCCGTGTGAAAGATACAATAGGAAGGGCAGTTCTGCTTGTGAAAGTTAATAGGTTTCAAGTGAAGGTATTATTGTCTATATGAGCTCTCTTTTATGGAAAAACAATGCAATACAGTTCTATGATAAGAAGACTGAAAGTTTAAATTGTATGCCCTCTTTGTTCCTTGGACTCACCTGAAATACAGTGACAATGGCCCAAAGTAAGGAGTCAAAGTTTTTCCGGTCAGGGACTGTGTCTCCTGTGTCAGTTCTAAGACTAAATTTACAACCAAAGATGTGCATTCCAAGGATGCTGTAGAGAAGAAAAATGTGTTATGGTTTTTAAAAGATTACAGAACATAGAACATCAGAGTTGGAAGGATCTTCTAGTCCAAGCCCCTGCTCAAGCAGGAGACTCTATATCATTTCAGACAGGTGGCTGTCCAGTCTTTTTTTAAAAGCTTCCAGTGATAGAGCACCCACAACTTTTGAAGGCAAGCTGTAAAGCATCAATCAATGTCTGCTTGTTTTCAAATCCTTAAGTAATTATTATCTAAATTATTCCCTTTCAAAACATGTAGGGTAATCTTTATGAGTTTCCCCAAATGTAAAACAACCCTATGAAATAGAATCAAAATGGAAACTTTAAGTGTCCATAACCGATGGCATTGGTTAACCTCCTCACTTTTCAGATTCAGACATATCCCGAAAAACCCCCACCAACTTCATTTCTCAATGCAACATTAGTAGTAAAAACAAGAAGACAGCAAAGCTTAATGATTACCCTAAAGTATCGTGAGATTTATTTTGATTTTCTTCATTCACATTTTAACTGTTCATTTATTAAACTTCTAGCCTTATTGCATTGTTTTATTTAAAGACAAAGAAATCTGGCTAAACTGAAAAAATACTGAGAAATATCATTGTTCTTGTTTAGAAGGCACTAAAGGTACCTAGCTAATGTATATTAATACAATATTACTCAGCATCCTTTCTCTGAGAACCTTAGCATCCCTAACCAGAATGACTATACTGAACCAGTATGACCATACTGGAATGGTATGATGGAGGTAATAGTTCAAAATATCAGGAGAACATTGGTCTAGAACATTTACAGAAAATGAGATTAGGAAAGGCTGGTCTTAGCTATAATTAACTTCTCTTTCTTTTGATCTGAGGTTAAAGGAATCAACATCTGTTCATGCTATAGTCAAAATCTTTCTTTTGCAAACTGCATTGATGTCCTGGACTTCCACATGGGTGGAAGCTACAAGTGGTCTTGAAGGCAGTAGATAGGCTGTAGCCAGCACAACTTATTGGTGCACAGTTTAGCACCTGAATATATGGATATTGCTTTGCCAGAATGGACTTTGTTCATCCAATCTGATCATCTATAGTATATGGTAAATTCACTGGACTTGGATCAGGTAGCAGGCTTTCTCTGTACCAACCTTAGTGCTCTGGAATATGTGTCCCCTTCTTGCTTTTCATAAAGTGATTAAAACCTTTTTATTCCATGAAGCCTTTAACCTTATGTGACTATGAGGTTTTAATTTTATCTTTATTATTTCCTTGGGTTTTTGTTTTGTTGTACATCTTCCAGACTCTGCACATGAATGCACTATGTGTATTAATGGTGCAGCTGGTGTCAAACTGTTACAGTTTAAAACTGCTCTGATGGCTTAGGGCACTCCTGGATATATGAGGTTAAATTCTCTCTATTCCAGTCAGCATAAATATTGTTGAAAATTCTATGAGTTTGAGTCTGTACGTCTGGAAAGTACTCATAATGGGGAAATCAGATTTAGGCTCAGATATTTAATTTGCCTTTTTGACATTTTCCTTTCTCAGTGTTTAAGCTAGTAAAATGGAGCCCACCCTATATTAATCTTCCATATTCACTTGTTAGTTCCTTGGTATCTTTCTGCTTCCATTAAGAAATTCTAACCACACTTCCTATACAGACCCTCCTGTCTTCAGCATGCATTTCATCTTCCTACCTGAAGATAAAGATAAAGAGCATGAGGAGCATGCAGAAGGTTGCTACATTATCCATTGTCTTCATCAGTACCACAAGTTGACGCCTCAAGGCAGGCATGAATCTCACCAGCTTCAGCACCCTCAATAGCCGGAATGTCCTCAGCACTGACAGGCCACCATCAGCCTGACCTACGATCTCCCAGATGCTGCAGATCCAAATAATCAGAAGAGGACACACAAAAGTGAGAGAGAAATTGCTAAGACCATAATTAGATTGGAAAAATAATAAAAGGAATTCAATAAACAACCCATTTCATTGTCATCTTTCATTAGGTTTAGGTTCTAAGCAGATTCTATGTATGAGAGCATTTGTGAGTGTAAAAGAGATATAATTTCTCCATCAAATGCACTGGAAACTACAAATGAATTGTTTCTGGTATAATCCAAAGGCTTACGTAATCTTTTATAGAAAGGCCACAGATATTATGGGAGGTGAGGAATCCAGAAGACCTGGAAGGTCCAATCTGATGCAACTAAAACAATATCTGACTTAATCATGTGTGATTAAAATACATTTTGTAAATATATGTGTTGTGTGTGGTTTTGTCTAAGAATATATTTATGTGGGTCGGTGTTTTTCTGTGTGTGTATGCATGTGGGTATGTATCTATAGATATGAATATATCTGAGGAAGTGAAGAGGGTGAACAAGCAAGATCATTAAATAAGCAAATAGTAACAGCAAAGGATTTTGGAAAGAAAGAGTAAAAGAGAAAGAGGATCAAAGGGAAGGTGAGTCAGGGAGAGCACAGCTACTGATGACTGTTGCTGTTGATTGTTTCTAATGCACTGATGCACATTGCACTACTGATTGCCCATTGAATCATCGTTTGTTGCCAACCTACAGTAGCACAGGCTACTGATGACTGCTGCTGTTGACTGTTTCTGATGCACTGATGCACATTGCACTACTGATTGCCCATTGAAGCATCGTTTGTTGCCAACCTATTTGAAGCAATTTCCAGAAAAATATAAGGAAGCAGTTCAAAGAGGACAAACTGAATAAAGAAACAGGGAGCTGTGGATAAACTTAAGGGAGAAGAATTTATTTTTGTTTTATTTATTGTTTATATAAAGAATACAAACTGTTCTTTTGATCTGCAGGTGCTGTGTCAAGTTTGTTTCTTTCCCTAAAGTTGACAATAATTAAACCTGCTGCAAGTGCAGGCTTACAGCCTGCTGTAAGAGAAGATAAAGAGGCTAGAGGCAAAACTGTCCATTGCTCAGTATAGTGTCAAGATCAAGAGAAGTTATTTCTCTCTATTCTGCTTTGATTGGGCCACAATACATTCAGTTCTGAGCACAGCATTTTAGAAAATACATTGACAAATGGAACATGTCCAGAGAAAGCAGCCAAGTTAATTAGGGTCTTGAAAGAAAAAAAAAGTAAGACAAATGGTTGGAGGCATTGAGTATGTTTAGTCTGGAGAAGAGGAGTCTATAGAGACATGATAACTGTCTTCAAGCATCAGAAGGGCTGTCATGTAAAAGACAGGGCAGAATTGTTCAGAGTTGTTCCGGAAGACACCACAATGGGTTTAAACAATGGAAATTAAATTATAGGGAAATGGATTCTGTGGGACATCAGGAAAAGTTTCCTAACAGTAAGAGTTTTTCAACAATGGAAAAGACTGCCTGGGGGAAGGCGCTGGACAGTCTTTAATTGGAAATGGTTGAAGTGAGGCTGGCTAGCATCTGTCACAGATGCTATACGAATGGTTCCTGCATTGAGCAGCGGAATGAATTAGATAATTTCCAAAGTCCTTTCCTGCCATGCCATGCCATGCCATTGTTTCTTCTATGTATATACATGTCTGATCAATAATGAAGACTGCCATTTCCATCAGTAGCCTCTATATCTAGAAACACAAAAAAATCTTTTAAAATATATTCAGACAGATGGCTGGGGTTACATGTAGAGGAAACACCATTGTTTAACTATAGATTAAGGCAGTTTTATATGTTTCTAAAGCTAGGAATTCTAAATATAGAAAGAAGAGATAGAAAGTGAATGCCTTATCTAGGAATAATGTTTTACTTTATAGGTAGACCTCGTTTTAACAAATGCCCTCTTTAGCAACTGTTCAAAGTTTACAAAGGCCTGGAAAAATAGCTTTTTGATAAGTCCTAGCACTTGTGGCCATCACAGTATCCCCACAGTTACATGATTGAGATTTGTGTGCTTTGCAATCAGTGAGCATTTACAACTGACACAGTGATCACTATCTGCATGCTTTACAACTAATTTCAGACAAGCAGGATCAATAGAGAAACTGGCAGTCAAATCATGAGTCTCAGTCATGTAATGTCTCACCTAACAACTGTGTTGCTTAGCAGCAGTTGCTGGTCCCAATTATGGTCATTAAACAAGGACTACCTCTAATTATACTGTATTTATAGTTTTGCACAAATTATTTGTTACACTGATCCGGCAATATAGCACTGTAAAACTGGAAAAATATTTAGCAAGGATTTAACATTCCTGCTTTCATATTTGACCGCATGCATTTATAGAGCAATTATCTGGTCGAGTGACTTTGGCCAGTCACTCTCTCTCAGCCCAACTCTCCTCCTAGGGTTGTTGTTCTGAGGAAAATAGGAGGAGGAAGAAATATTAGCTATGTTTACTATCTTGTTTATAAAAAATAGTAAAGGCAGGATAAAAAAATCTAATAATAAGTAAACATAGACTATCCTGAATATAACTAATGGCAAAATCTGAAATATAATCAAATCTTCAGATTGCCTGACTTTACACATAAATATGGGCAGTTATACTATATTAATTTAAAAGGCAAGCTCAAAATAATGGTGTAAACGTAATTCATTACTGCTAATCATTTGCCAGTCCCAGTCCTCACCTTTGGGCAAAATGGATTTGTTTAAAAATAATATGAATTATCACAATGTGGGCACACACATACTTAAAATTAGTAGATATGACTTAGCTTTGTCTACTCTAATCTGGATGGCAAGAATCTAGCTATCATCATCCACTGTTGTTATGCAACATTTCATTATTGATTCAATAAAGATTTGGATTGTTATTACCTGATGATGACAATGATACTGTCAAAAATGTTGTATGGGTTGCGAAGGTAATCAAAGATACCAAAGGCGGCAAGTTTCAAAATCATCTCCAGGGCAAACATGCTGGTAAACACAACATTGCAAATTTCCAAAATATTTGTCAGCTCCTCTGGCTATAGGCAAAAGAAAGAAGCCAAGATATCAAATGCATTTAGGAAATGTCACATATTTTTCTGGATAGGATACAGGAAATGGGAGCACCTGCATTAAAAAAAAGACATTTGGAGCCTTTCAAATATCTTCCTCTAAGTGTACAATGAATGTGAACCTCTAAGGCTGCCATCTCTCCAACATTTAATGAATGTTGATATTCCCCCCCTCCTTTCTTCCCCTTTTTAATTAATCTCCCTTTTAATTTGTGTGATCTTTTGCTCCAACACTGCAGTGTCTATTAATTTGGTAATTTATTCATTTTAAAAAAATTATTTAGCTGCTCAGTACTTGAAAGCAACTGAGGACTGTTCCTCTAATTTTGAAGTAAATGCTGGATTTGCTGTTTTTGCCACAGTAATCATTATTGATGATTTCATGATATAACTCAAAATATTTCCATTGCTACCTTATGATATGGTCACTACTTGTGCAAATTCCACAACATTGTTTTGCAGCAACATTTGTAGTATATTTGTAATCACTGGATTTCTTTTTCTTTTTATATGTTAGTATGGCTACAAAACCTCAGGATGATAGAATTGCAATTCTAAAGACATGTGGAAACACCGGGTTTATGTTTTTTTCATTTTGAGAGGACAGAAGGATTCCCTTCATCTTTTACTATCCCTACCATCTGATTTTCTCCATTGTTTCTACTGGAGAAAATTACTAGCAACATACTTGGTCCTATTATCATAATCTTTCCTCATTACAGAAAGTTTTCAACTTACAACAGTTCATTTAGTGACCATTCAAAGTTACAACAGCACTGAAAAAAGTGACAAGATCATTTTTCACACTTATGACCATTGCAGCATTCGGCTGCTACAGCTGGTTCATATTTATGATGGTTGTAGGGTTCCAGAGCCATGTAATTCCCTTTTGCAAACTTCTGACAAGCAAAGTCAATGGAGAAACCAGATTCACTTAACAACCGTGTTACTAACTTAACAATTACAGTGATTCACTTAATAAATGTGGCAAGAAAAGTTGTAAAATGGGGCGAAACTCATTTAACAAATTTCTCACTTAGCAACGTAAATTTGGGGCTCAATTGTGATTATAAGTCAAGGACTACCTGTAATTTCTCAGAAGTGGTCTAACTAATTACTAGAAGGAATATCAACATGCATGAATTAGGCAGCAGTAAAATGTACCCCCCCCCAAAAAAAACCAGGGTAACCCAGAAAGAGGGTGCAAAATTTAGCTGAGGAAACATCAAAACAATGTTGCTTATGTTACATAGCATGATAAGGCTTTCTGGTATTTTTTAAAAACTATAATTCAGGGCTTTTCAACTGGTGGTACGTGTACCACTGGTGGTAGTTTGGCACCTGGCAGGTGGTACATGACCTCCTAGACAAGTGTAGCAGGGCAGGGGAATGAGCTGAAGCAGCAGCAGCACCGCACAAGCCTGAGGGAGAGTCAGCTGGTGCTGCAAGGCTGTGGGGGCTTGGCCTGCGCAACTACATGCTGATCGGCACTTCTGCAGGCTGCAAGGATGAAACAGAGACCCCAGGATTGGAGCACGCAGTTACATGCTGATCATCGCACCCGGAAGAGAAAAGAAGGAGGAGGGTGGAGAGAGGAGAGTATATAAAAGGAGGAGGTTTTGGTGGGAATGGAAGAGAAAAAAAAAGATGACAGGGAAAAAGAAGGGGAGGAGAAAGAGAGATGGAGAAGAGGAGAGGCTTCTTTGAGACAAGCAGAGGGAGAGAAAGGGATAGAAAAGTGCAAAGCTCAATGTCAGAGAAACAGGCACAAGTTTCCCAGTAAAAGTGTGGTAAGTGGGTGTATGGATAGTCCTCAACCTACGACCACACTTGAGCCCAAAATTTATGTTGCTAAGCAAGAAATTTGTTAAATGAGTTTTGTCCCATTTTACAAACTTTTCTTGTCACATTTGTTAAGTAAATTACTGCAGTTGTTAAATTAGTAACATAGTTGTTAAGTGAATCTGGTTTCCCCATTGACTTTGCTTGTCAGAAAGTTGCAAAAGGGGATCACATGACCCTGAAACATCATAAATATGAATCAGTTGCCAAGCATCTGAAGTAAATCACATGACCCTGGGGATACTGCAACAGTTATAAATGTGAAAAATGGTCATGTAACTTTGAACAGTCACTAAGTGAACTATTGTAAGTTGAGGACTACCTGTACTTTATCACTTTTTCCTTTTTTGGGGGGGGTCATCGAGTTTTTGACACCTTGCTAGGCAACTGGTGGTACTTGAATATTGCCATATCCTAAAAGTGGTAAATCTGTGAAAAGGTTGAAAAGCCCTGCTATAATTTAAATTAATCTGGAAGGTACCAAGGCCCTATACTTAGCCCACATAAATATTATAGAAAATGACAATGTAGGGTCCATAGAAAGCTGTTTTATTCAATGGGAATTTGCTTTATTTGTGAACTCCAGCCTGACAGCCAGTTTAACATAGTTGTTAAATGTCCTTAAACATCAAGGTTTACCGGATGAATATGAGGTAGTCATTCTTTCTTAGCTAACCTTGTAATAAATCTGGAAAGGAAGTGGCATGTGTTAAGTCCTTCGAACAATGGGGAATGATGAAGACACATCTTACACTAAACAGCTCTTTATTTCGTTTTCAGCCAAAACACCAACAACGAGCAAAGGCACGCAGGCCTCTTTTTATATGACCAGATCCCCAGACACAATGGCAACAATCAGAGTGCTTTCGCACCTTGCACATGCGTGCAAAGCTGGCGCCACTCAGTCTGGTCCCAGGCAGCTTCTTGAATGCCTGGGACCATTGCAACGTTGCGAGCCTGCTTGTGCAGGCTCAGGACACAACACCCCTCCCCCCTAGATTGAAACAATCCTGACATCCTCAACATCCTTCCTTGGGAAGAGTGTTATACATTCTAACAACCAAATGCCCGGAAACTGGAATACCTGAGGTTGCTTTCAAGCAAAACCCCCTCCACATTGTTTTGGTGAATGTATGTACTTGAAATCATAAAATAAAACAAAATAACATTTTTAGTCAGTGACCTTAGGAGTGTTACTCCTTGGACTGGACAGCAACTTCACAATATCTTTAAGATATTTGGGTGGGCACTTGGCCCGTTGCGACCTCCTCAGACTGTGAGAGTTTGCTTGGCCTCCCTGCTCACCCACCAGGTAGGTGGGCCAAGACGTTGCTGCCCAAATTCCCCAGGTGATCCTGGTGCTGTTGCCTGGCCTACCTGCTCGCCTATCAGGCTCGGCAGGCCAGGACTTTGCTGCCCCAAATACCCAGTTGACCTGCCCATCTGCTGGCTGGCTGGACCCTCTAAGCCCACACCAGCATCCTCTGGAGGTGTGGTATTCCCCAGTTCCACAATGGACCTTTCTTGGGAGCACTGTCCCTTGAACCCAAGGCCAGCAGATGGAGAGTCTGGGGTAGCTGCAGTGCCCCAGTACCCTGTGGACCCCAAGGCCGTGCCTGAAGTGCCAGAATCAGGAGTTGCCTCTCTGTTTACCCCCTTTCCAGAGGACTTCCTTCTGGGAGCAATTGCAGAATTGGGCCAGATCCCTTGCTGTGTTTCCAGTTCTCTTGTAGGTTGTGAGTTGTGTGGACACCCCCGGTCAGTCTCCCTGTCTGGAGCACTATCTGTTGTGTGTGAATAATGTGGATACCCCTGGTGTGACTCCCTGTCTGGAGTAAGTGTGGATGTGTGGGATGACCCCCTTCCCAATGAATTCCTGTTCCGAGCACTTGCGGAACCTTGTGATGGGACACCCATGGCCTCATCAGCTGCTAGGGAAGGCCAGAGATACTGATCCCCAGAATGCACATTATAATCCTCCTCCCCTCCCCCCCAGAGCAGAGCCAGGAGCGGAAGGGTGAGAGTCCAGCCTCCAATGCTGGTCTATGTGCTGCTGAAGAACGCAGTCATCGTCCAAGGCCACTTCATAGGACAATGGTCCGGAGACCTTGCAGACCACAGCCATTACCCAGAGATGACCAGGCCCATAGTTTCGAGTCCAGACTGGATCATCCACTTGAAGTCTCCTCGGTGCCCGTGGTTGTGACACTTGTGACGCCACCCGGTCAGGTGCAGCCTCTCCAGCTTAGTGATGAGCCGGCGACCCCAGCGGAGTTCAGCAGGGACTTCCCTGTGGAAGTGCAAGATGTGGTGCGATGTGCAAGAAGAAAGTCTGCTAATCTGTGATGCCAGTTATCATAAGTCAGTTTCTTGAGGGCATCCTTGGTGGTGCGTACCATTCTCTCTGCCATTCCATTGGAGGATGGGTAGAAGGGGGCCAAAGTTGCATGGTGGATCAAGTTGGCCTGAAGAAAAGCCTGGAACTCAGAAGAGGTAAATTGAGGACCGTTATCTGAAACCAGAACATCTGGAAGGCCATGAGCTGCAAAAATTCCCCTCAACACCTGGATAGTCTTGGCAGTAGTAGTGGAGGACACAGGAACAACCTCTAGCCACTTGGAATGGCTATCAACAACAACCAGGAACAATTGCCCCTGAAAGGGTCCAACATAAGCTATATGTACCCTAGACTACGGGGTTTGAGTTTCCTCCCACCTATGAACTGGGGCCTGAGGCATTTCAGGCCAGGACTGTTGGCACACTTGGTACCCGTGCACCTGGGCCTCGATGGCTTTATCTAGGCCAGGCCACCACAGATGGTGCACGCAAGCGCTTTCATCCTGACTATACCAGGATGTCCCTCATGTAGAGAGATTAAGATTCTAGACCTCAATGAGGCTGGGATTATTAACCTGCTACCCCATAACAAGCATCCTTTGAACATGGACAACTCATGCTTCTTGTGCCAGAAGCTTTAAAACTCTGCATCAGGGCAGTTGTCAGGCCATCCTGACAATACCCACATCAACATGCGTGTAAGCATGTGATCAGTGGCAGTTTCAGCAGCCACGTCCCTAGCATTGAGGGCAGACTTAGGCAAGTCTTGAATGGACAGAATGTTAATG